AGAACGCAAGTACATCGATAGATACGCATTTTCCAGGATAGCCTCGCAGAAAGTAAAATGAATTTGTTCGCACGCAACCAAGAATTTCGTCTTCACACTCAGTCGCCATGGTTTGGTAAAGCCAGTGCTTCAGATACGACAGCGGCGTTCTCGTATCCTTTGTACAGCAGGTATACTTACTTCCGTGAAGCGACGGCACCATTAATGATCCAAGCGAGTCCGGCGGTCACTCGAGGTCCGCCGTTCTCTACCCTCTCGAGCATATTGCTGGAGGTTGCTACGACCTCGAAAAAAAAAAATTAAGGGCGTGCTCTTTGTAGCCGAACCACAAGAAATACACATTTATCAAGCGCGCGAATGAGAGTGTAACTCCCGAGGTAATTATTTGTCCAGCCGAAAAAAATTGCCGTCCACCCAGCCGCGGACGCTCGTAAAGCTCGCTCCAAACCCGCCGTTCCCACACATTTTCCTCTTTTCTGCGGCAACACGTACTCGCAGCAGGTGACGTCATGCCTCGCTCTCATCGCCTTCTCTCCAACCCGCGAATAAAAGGCCACGTACATAACACCAGCCGCGGGACACCACGGAGTTCGTGCAAAGATCCCGCGAAGATTGACTACCCCTCCCCACGCAAGCCTGAGGCGAGATGGGCTGTAAATCAGTGTCGGTCCAGAGTTGCCAGTCGTAAACCAGCGCCCCGACGAACTCTATAAGAGGACCCTGGCGGTCAGCGACTGCTTACGTACCACTCTTCTTTCCTTTCGTTCTTCTTTTTCACCGGCCGTGGGCGCGCTTCCAAAGCTAACTCAGGCCGCAGCGGCTTCTCGCGTTTTCTTTATAGAGGCGTTGACACCACCATCAGGGCCAGAACAAGGGCTGCAGACTTCGCTCTTCGGTGGAGGAAGACCCTGACTTCCCCGAGAGACTTTACCCCCGACTTAAAGACGAGGCCTAAAAGGGTTCTCGAGGAGCACATCTGTTACTATCCTGCAGGCAGTTAGTTCCCTAGGGAGAACCACGAGGAAGAAATACAGGGCCTTTCATTGCAATGCATTCAGAACAACAGTTAAACAACGCTCGAAGGACTAAGAGTGTAGAGCAAAAAATATCTGATAATGTAGAGCCGCTAAACCCCGTCGAAACGTAAGAGAATTGTGCCCAAGTGGTATCACGAAGCACGTGCTGGATTAAACTGTATAAAAAAGAAAAAAATTGAAAATTGACAAAAAATTAATTTTAAATTTTAGATATTTTCAACCATTTGAGAGCCCGTTTTAGCTTCCGTTCCAGCTCTATCCTGAAGCCGACCCGACGATCGGTAACTAGCACGTTTCTCAGCTACTGCTACGCAACAGTTGAGTCTGTTGATTCCCGTTAAAATGCCGGGGTCCTATACCATACGCGCGCAAAATCTCCAGGTAGATTATACCTGGAAGTCTCAAGACATGAGGGAAAAAAACCGTTGCGTTTCAATATGGTGCGCCAGAAGCTTACGAGAAGCGCGAAGGCGAGTGCACACTTAAAGCGATGCAGCAGGCTCATCTTAAACAATGCACAGAAAAGTGGATGGCGCAGCAGCCCGCCATCGACGTTGAGAAAAATCGTACAATGGCTGAACGAAAAAAAAAAATTGGTGCGAGCAACGATGAACGAACTATCTTCACGGGAAATACGTAAACAACTATTGCGTCAGTTGAGAAGGTGTGCGTCGTTTTGTGATATATTTGGCAGTTGCATCCCGTCGTCTTTGACGGAAGGTACACTGTCTAGAAACAGTGACAATAAGCGGCCTGGTTTCGGTATTACACTCAAGGTGCATTGTTTTTTTTTTTTTTGCCGTGGCCGTTGCCGTGAGACTTCGAATAAAGTGCAAATCGTTAAAGTTGACCCACGCGTCATGTGTTGTACGTGCGAGTGAAATCTTGGGAGGGCAGCCGAAAATCGCGGTTCGAGCGGAAAGGAACCGTGCCGGCCATCGCGCGGAAGGCTCATGAGATCAGGGGTCCTGGATGAAGTGCTGCTTACTATATCTTGACAGGTACCATTTCCCGCCTCATGCGTTTACATGTGAACTTCTTTTTCTTCCTGGCTAACCTCCCTGTCCTTCCTCATTCATTCCTCCTCCTCCTTCTTTCTTCTTTCCTCTCAGTTTACGCTAAGGGATAGACAGCACGAAGGTCGCGACACGCTCGCTGCAACGACCATGTTTCGTTGCGCCAGTGTTTTATTGCGTTGCGCCACGTTGAGCTGCTTGCCTTCCTTCGTATAACAATACAACATGTTGTTAATGCGTTGGATTGTTTGGCCTGCGGTGAAACTGCGTCTTTCCTTTTTTTATGTACACGACGCACAACACGTCAATTAAGTTTCTTGAAGTGCCATGGCGTATCGTTCCCATTTATGCTCTGCATCGAGTGCCATGCGATAATGTCACACACGAAGCTCGCTTGAGCTCATTCCACTGATACCATTGCGGCTTGACAAAGAAGAGAATCGAGAGTGCACATTCTGCCTAAAATCTTCTTTTACCTATTTTACCTGATTTCGCCTGTGTAACAGCACTCAGATATAGAAATGCTTGTTTACACAAGGAAATAGAAAAGTTATCATTGGATAAAGTCGGAGACTTCGTACATCTAAGGTTTTGCTGGAACAAACAGTGGTGTGTATCTCGGCAGTTTGAAATTACAATCACCAGATTACGATGCAGAATTCCGCACCTGAATTATTACCTACATAAAGCTGGACTAACAGCATCTCCGTTATGTCTCTTCTTCAAGGAATCAGAATCAATCGATCATTTCTTTTTATCCTGTCAACGATATTCTTATCAAAGGAAAATATACGTAGTTGAACCAATTGAGAAGCTAGGTTTAAAAGTAAACGTGGCAGTAATTTTATCCTTCGGAGGGATTACATTAGGTTATAGCCACAGGGAGGTTTACTCTGCCGTGTGTATTCATAATGGCAACAAAAAGATTACCTTGTTAGTCAATTGTTATTATTATTTACGGCTACGAGACTACCTGAATGCCTGACTCATAACTAACTCACTTGATGATCCTGCCGCCCGGTTCTTGGCTGATCCCTCTTTGTGGGCGAGTGCCAGCGAAGGTAAAGGCTCATCATCATAATGATCTTCCAGAAATTACCATGAATGTCTCTTGCCCCATTCGAAGTATTGCACGAAGCGCATATCATATACTCATGGCAGTTCGCGCATTGCGATTCGGCGTGCTACTGTATGAACTAAGAACGCTTCCATGCCTCTGCCAACGCCTCCTCTAGGAAGATGCCTGCCGCATGAGAAACAAAACAGCTGCCACACCCTTTTCCTCCTTCATTTCTTTCCCTCCGCGTCACCTGTGGTGGACGGTGCAACAACGCAACACTTTGCATAGCCTCCGAAATAGTGGTGCACAGTTGCAGGTCTCGAACAACTCTCGACTGACGCGCCCCTATGGGCCGCAGATGAAAAAACACTTAGCTGGTACCGCCGTGATAATAGTCTCGGTCGCGAGCGCCACCGCGTGACGCTTGCTCAAAACTGAAGGCAGGCCAACTCCGCTGGGAGCGCGAGCCATTCCCCAGGCATTGTTTAGAGGAGGCGTTACCTCTGCATTGACGCAAACGCCACAGCACTGACGCGAACGTTTTCAACGTAACTCGACGCTGTTGCCCAGTTTTGTAACGAGCGCCACGTTGTCAGACGCAGGCTCGTTTCCAGCGGCGGCCGATTTCTCTGAATCGAGAGAACAAAGACGTAATTGGGTGCGCCGTGCCGTGGCTCTCGCTCATTAACCCATTAGCGTCGCTGCGCAAGGGGCAGGATTAAGCCTTAACTCGATTTAATTCCAATCAGGGCAACAGCGTTGCGGTCGTAAGCTTCGGATTGTGATGAAATCGTCGAGGGGTCAATCTAATTTGCCTTGACCCGCGTATGCATTGACAGGCAGCGGAAAGATCCCGTCGTCTTTGTGGTTTCTTCATAGGTTTCGCTACTTTTCGTGTAAAACCGCGAAACATCCCCAGACAGTGCTAGTCGTTAGCTGTTAATGGAGGTCGCCACGTTAGTCAGTGCGTTTAAAGACGTCTGCGGCTGGCAACAGGATAGGCCGCTCTCCACATGAAGGAAATACCCGTACGTTGCTTCGTCCAAAAGAAAGTAAATGAATGAATAAAATGTTTTTTTTTCTCTGGGGGTCAGCAAAGGGCCACTAATCTGCAGACGAGCCTTGCCGGACCGTGGCCTAAAAGCAGTTCTAGCTTACATATTTTTTGTTTTTGCGATGGGTACAAAAAGTGGCAGCCATGTTCTCGTTGAGCAATAAGCGTTTGTTCGACCTGCTTGAAGAATTCACCCGAAATTAGTGCAGTGTTTAATGTTTTCTTTTCACAAAGGAAAAGAAAACATTAAAAGCAAAGTGACAGTCCTCGAGACGGAACGAGTGAGAAGAAAGCCTGCGAAAGGGGCTCCATTTCCACTGTCTCGTAATACAGTGAGAATCGTGATAAAATTGCAGCCTTTTGTGATAGTGCAGCTCGCGACAGAATTTAAATAATCACGGGAAAGCAAATGCGTCATGCATGCATGCACATACGTACAATGAATGAATGAATGAATGAATGAATGAATGAATGAATGAATGAATGAATGAATGAATGAATGATTTTTCTGCTCTGGGTAACTTCAAGTGTAACATTTCTTTTTTTAGCCTAGTCGCTCACCCGCAGTGTAGTTTCGATATAGCGCAGCTCTATTTGAGTCTCGAGCACAGAGACAATATGAAAGAAGAAAATAACAGGAAACAGGATGAGCGCAGTTAGCGCTCATCCTGTTGCCTGTCATTTCCTCGTTTGCCGCTGTCTCTTTCCTTCACGCTCAAACTGAGCTGCGCCGTATCAAAACGAGAACCATGTTGCACAAACTTGGCTGCAGTAACACGATCGAGCCTAACGAAACATGTGCGCCCCCACGCGGCGCCGGGGCGCACCACCAGCGCGCACCTCTTTCCTGTGTGCAGTGGTGTACCGGCTGCTGAGCCTGGTGGCCCTCTGGGCGCTGGTGTTCGTGGTGGCCGAAGGACGCTACTTACCGACCAGGTCCGGAGACGAACTACGCGGGGAACGCCTGCGGGAGCTCATAAGGACCGTACGTATACGCATACACGACGCTTTCGCTGCACGGACGCTTTCGCTGCACGGCGCTGCTTTGCAAACGATCGTTACCGAACTCTGTGCCAGCACCTCAAAGCCTGTAGCGATCGCATTTCGTGGTCTGGGGAACATTTGGTTTTTGTCAACACGAGAACAACATATCAGTCGTCATTGCAGAAATGGTATGTGAAACAGCAGCAGTAGTAGTAGCAGAAGTAGTAGTGGTAATAGTAGTAGTAGATGTAGTAACACTGATCATAATACTAGTAGTAGTAGTAGTAGTAGTAGTAGTAGTAGTAGTAGTAATGGGTATTAATAATAGCAGTAGTGGTAGTATGTAGTAGTAGTAGTAGTAGTAGTAGTAGTAGTAGTAGTAGTGGTAGTAGTAGTAGTGGTAGTAGTAGTAGTAGTAGCAGCAGTAGTAGTAGTAGTAGCAGTAGTAATAGTAGTAGCAGTAGTAGTAGTAGACAAATGGGACGAAGTGTAATGCAACAGTGAGTAGGCGCCCTTGAGAGTTTATAAGGAAACGAAAACAAGTGGATACTGAAACAATAATGAATTAGCAGGCAAAATTTTTGTGTAATTTTATTCAGAAAGAATGCATAAGATAAGCCACCAGGCTTTTGATGACCCTAACTGCTTAATCATCTGAACTCTTCAGTGTACTTCCGTGGCACCGTGACAATACACATGTAACAAGTACTTAGATGAAGGGCTGCAAAGACAAAGGGTTTAAAATAGCACTAAAGAGCAAAATAATTTTTCGCATATTAGTGAAGCACAAACTCACAATCCTGAAAACACTCCTCTTACCGCGAATTGACGCTTGGTAAGCGAGATAATATGTAAAAAGAAAATGCATGTGGAAACGCGACTTGAAGTTCTCGCACCAAACACCGTGACGTCACAAGTTTGAAGCCGTATACCTAGCTTCTGCTCGATAAAAATAAAGTATATTGTCATCTGTGGGTGCCAAAGAGCTAGCATACGAAGTTTCGGAATATTTCATTCAATAAATGTTGCGGAAATATAAAACAATTTATTTTGAAATCGTCATGCATGAAGATTTCGACGCGAAATTTAAAGATCAAACTTTAACCTTGATTTTATCCGCTAATGATGGATTTATGATGGTGAAACATATGGCATTAGAGTTCTAGGAGTGCAATTTATCTATCTAAACCAATTCCTTGTTTTTTTTTCTGTGTCCCTTTAATGTACAGAGCTAAGCCCACATTGTCAGTCGGCATTACGATGAACATGCTGCGCAGGGAGAAGAGCTATGCACCCAGAGCTTTACACATTCTAATGAAATATTACCAACATTTCGTTCAAGTGCAACCAATAAATGAACTCATTGCTTACGAAGATTTAGCTCGATGAACATCCCATATCACGTGAGGTGAGGTCCGAGCTTCGCGACTGTCATTACTAAATACTAAGCGGGCTTTCTGCATTCTGATGCCAGAAGCTATGCCAACAGAAAAGATTCATCACCGTATTGCGCTGCTTGCATCTTACATTGTCCTTAGATAAAACTTACACTGCACTGTTCTTTCTAGGGGACACTACTGATGACAAAAGAAAACAAAAGGCTGTCCAAAAGATATGTCAAGCAACCCGTGTACGACGGGAATGCTAGTGTCTCTTTCGCTTGTAACCTTCTCGAGATTGCTACTGCCTCCAAGGCTTTGTTACTCTCGATTGCGTTTCTCCTCATTGCACTTTCTGCTTTCCCCCCCTTCTCTCTCACACCAGTGGAAAATAGGCGAAATGCGTGCTCTTCCGGCCATTTGAGATAGCATTTTTTTCTATCTTCTCTATCTTCCTCTTGTTAGGCCAGCCATTACCATCGTCCTGTACAATTGTACTTAGTATAATTGTATAGGATAACGGTGATGTCGGGGCTTGGGAGGTCTCACTATATGCTGCGTACAATGGTACGTAGTATTGTACGTAGTACAGTTGTACGTAGTACATTGCAAGACCCAAGATTCTACCCAGATATATCCAGTTAGCCCGAAAACCTGCACGAAAACCGAACATTCTGCCCGAAAACCGAATGAGCATTACGTCTTCCCTTTTTTGCTCGTCACACCATCTCATCGTCTGCCCCTCTCAAAGAAATGCACCATCGTTTTCAGGAACAACTATTGTTACTTCGACGCACCACGGCTAATCAGCTATACGCAACGTAAAAGCGCCATTTATTTCTCTTTACCCATTTTGCAGTATCGTTTCATATTGTTTTTATTTATATAGGAAAAACCTGAGAAGGCGGGCTATGTTAGAGCCGGTAGTCCAACCGTAATCATAGTTATTCTAAATAAACAGAAAAACTACAAAGAATTATTAAATCGGAACTGTTAGTATACGACCTCTGGTGTATAAAGAATGAGCAGAGTGTAAATACAGAGTTTGATACATACAGGGTGATCACACAGAGGTCTGTTCAGATAGTTTTTTACACAATTACGCATTAAATGACTATGATATATGTTTATTAACGACTCAATACTATGAAAAGAAGCAATAATGTCAATTACAGACATACCGTAAACCTTTTGCTCATTAAATAATGGTGAGGAGCGCTCACTGCGCGTCTTCAATCGCAAGTGTGCTCCCACTGTTCAAGCACTCGTTAGTGGTCGTCTATCGAGGCTAATCGACAGATACCTCAGTTGAACGCACCGTCATTCATATTGCAGGCTCTCTGAGATGACTTGCGCATACGGTTGCACCATCTCACCTTGTTTCGATACACCGGTCATTCTCTCTTCGTTGCCCGACAATCCGTCTTGTTATCGAATTAACTCGGTGTAGTGCCCATGGTCTGGCTGTAAATCAAGAACCTTCAGGCGTGTCACGTTCCACTGTAGATTGTCGAGTCACGGTGTCCACTGAAGGCTTCCAAGCACTGGACATAGAACATTAACTACTTGTTGTACGGACTCGGCGTATGGTGATTTCAGCCTGCCTACGAACACGCGAAGTGTGTCAGTCGTTGTTACACTGATGGCCGTGCCTGCCCCTCTCCTCGCAGCTGTTCGAGAGGGCCGAGCTGGAGAAGGCGGCGGGTCTCTACCCGTATGCCGGTGACGGCCGTAGTGGCATGCTCAGCGGTCAAGAATGAAGAATGCTGTCACGGTAGGTACATTGGGTGACGTGTCCTTTCGGTCCCTGCCAGCCTCAAGTTATTTTTTTTCGTCCACTTTTCTTTCTTCGTATTTACATTAAGATTGCTACTAATAACATTCCCTATATACTCCTTGTCGGGATTTTCTGCCATTCTACTTCTCATTAATATTACATTGGTAGCGTGAACATATAGCACAGGCCGGAGCGCCAGCGTAAGAAGAGAATGAAGATTGTTACTGCACGCGCTCGCTCCGGTTGACAACTGGTCGGTTCCACCTCAGTAATTGCTTTAACAACGCCTCTCCGGCTCACTGCTAAAAGCGCACTATCACGTTTGACAAAGAAAAGCGATCCCTTTACTAATTTACACTTCTTTCCTTCATTCATAGCGAGAGTATCTTTGTCCCAGACACGATGCCTTCAGGTTGTATGCGAGGAATTACTGGTCAGCTGCCATCTCGTGGTGAGATCCCGCGCTACAGGACGCCAGTAGGCATAACGAGAGTGTTCCAGACTTGCCGTCATGGCTACTAGCGGCGCTGACTAACACTCCCATCCTGTTAGCTACTTGCGCGAGCAAACAAGGACGAAGGAAGAAGTATGACAAACGAGTGCAATCTAACAACCTCCGCTGTAGCTCATTTGGTAGAGCATCGGGCGCGTTATTCGAAGGTCGCAGCTTCGGTCGCTGCCAGCGGCAAGTTATCCTTTCGTCCACTTCTCTTTGTTCGAATTACCAATAACATCCTCTATACTTTCCTTGGTATAACTGACTGCTAGGTCACATTAATATTGTGTCTAGCAAAGAAAAACGAGCCCTTAGATTTCCAATTCATGTCGCTGTTTGTGGCTTTAGAGAAAATACCATTATCACGAGCAGGATATTCCTTTCTTCATCTACGCTTTATTTATTGCCTCTTTTTTCCCTAGCTACATTTTTTGTGCTTTCTTACTGGTGCATTGCTTTAATCGTTACCGCGACATTTTCAGTACTCCGCAGGTCGCGGGATTGAATCCTGGCTGCAGCGGCTGGCGAAAAAGATGCGGGCCCGTGTGCTCAAAATTTGGTGCATTTTAAAGAACCACAGATCATCTAAATTTCTGGAACCCTCTACTACGGCGTCTCTTATAATCATATGGTGGTTTTGGGACGTTAAACCCCGCATACCAATCAATAAACCTTCAATACTTCACATGTGCGACACTGCTTTTTGTAAAGCGTGCTTTACGTTGATCACAAAATGTATGCGGTGAAGTTACCTTTGCATAAGAGATGGAAGGTGGTTTGAGTAGTTAGAATTCTTTTCTGATTTCCTGAACAATTTATTTTGCGCAACAATTTTAAAAGTTCATTTACCTTTTATTCCCCCCGTTGTTTTGTACATTCACGCACACACACACAAAAAACAGTATTCTCCTCTCCAGGGGAGCTAGCACTTTCTGTAACGATTTAAACTTGTCGCAGACATTGCTTATGCGGTTGTTATTTCCACGATCATGCACGGAAAATTTTTCAATTTTCCAAATCTAGTTTCTCGCACCGAAGCGATGCAGAGGATGGCAGTTGAGAGAGTGTCCTTTTAAGCGATATCCTAGCATTTGTTTACATGAGGCAGAGTCCATCTTGTAAAGAGTGCTTTACTTCGTGCTTAGTCTTTGGGCAGTGAAGTTACTTCACTCGGGGAAAGCTTATCGATCGACCTCGAATGGCATAAAGCAGTTCTTGAATGCAAGTGCAGTACCTGCAAACGTGAACCTCGAACTTAAAAAAAACAATAGCATGTTCCTCCAAGTTCCTCGTGACGACAGTTCAGGCCAAGTGGAAACACATGTGCTTGGTGTTAGAGCCAATTAAAACGAAATAAAGTAACTAAGTAGGTACAAATCAATAATTTGACAACGCGGAGAGGAAAAAAAAAACCCTAACCCCAGCTTTTATATTTACAAGGTTGCCAGAGAAAGCCCGTAAACGAATTTGCGCCTTCGAGATACCCGCGAATGGCGTCAACGGACCGCGCCTCCCACGACCTTCAATGAGATATCGCGAGCGACAGTAAAAACTCCATTAATCTACATTAGGTGTCCATTACAACGACAAACAGTGGCTGCAAACAGCGCTAGACGCGGTACACCGATAGTTTATTTGTTACCGCGCACTCCGTGTGAGGCGAACGCTATTGTGGACGCGAGTTTCCACTTGCCGTGACAAAATAGCGAACGGTCGCGATGGGAGCTCCCCCTGACAGGCGTAATAAAATGGTCGTCTTCGCCCGGCTATACTCTGCCGGAAAGTGTCGATCACTTCCATCGAAAGTAGCATCACCCTCAAAAAGAACTGGTTGGCGGGCAGCCAGGCGATTTCGTTTTTTTTTTTGTTTGCCGTGTCTTGTCGAACTCAACGTTCGTGCGCTTCGTCGTCTGCGTTGTCGTTTCGTGGCCACTTGTTTATTTTTAAGATTATGTGGAGGTCCCCGAAGTTCACGGAATCGGATCCCCGCACCAGCTGTTGCACTTGGGTGGAAACGTTGAACGCTACATATCGAATCAATCAATGAAAGGAAATGTTAGGGGTTCGAGTGCTTAGATTTTGGTGCACGTTAAAAAGAACACCGGACGGTCAAAATTTCCGGGGCCCTCCGCTACGGCGTCCCTTAATTATAATTGTACCGTGGTTTTGGGACCTAAATTCCCAACAGTTATTATATAACTGTAAATATGGAGGAATCAAAAAAATTATGGCAGATTTACTAAGTGAATAGTGATGATAAGTGAAACAGTGTGCATCCCATAATGAATAGTGGCCTTCAATTTTGTTTTGGTTAACAGCCTTATATTGAGTTGTTGTAAACGCTTTGCTCTTTCAAATGCTTTGGTTGATAGAAGGTGAAATGTCGGTGTTTTTACAGTGTTGTCTCCTGTTATTTATTTAAAACCACATGCGCACTATGTACACTCTGCAGACAGTTTTACGCACAGATGTTTTGCATCTGCTCATCGACTGCACCCGGAACCTTGACTAATTGTAGCCAAATAGACATCACCAGATCCTAAGGAGCTTCACTCTTAAAAAAAAGAAAGAGAGAGAAAGGAGACCGTTTAACCTGACACTTTGATGCCGAAAAAAAAAAAAATCTCGGTATCGTCCCAAGACGTGCTTGTCGCTTACGTCAGAGTGCACATGCAGTTAAGGCAAACCTATACAGCCGCACAATCGAACAAACGTTATCGACCAATAAGTTGTCTCTCATAGGTCTCATTGTGGGCTGATATCACTACTAAAAAAAGCAGAGGAAACAGCTTCAAGAAAGGTTCACTTGATTGGATTGATATGTGGGGTTTAACGTCCCAAAATCACCATACGAATATGAGAGACGCCGTAGTGGAGGGCTCCGGAAATTTCGACCATCTGGGGTTCTTTAACGTGCACCCAAATCTGAGCACCCGGGCCTACAACATTTCCGCCTCCATCGAAAATGCAGCCACGCAGCCGGGATTCAAATTCACGACCTGCGGGTCAGCAGCCGAGTACCTTAGCCACTAGACCGCCGCGGTGGGGCAGGAAACGTTCACTTGTCAAGGCTGGTTGCGTGGCATAATGCTCATGCCTAGTTTACATTTTTATGACGCTTTTAATAATAAACGGTTGTTAATTCTGCAGGCTCACGCCATTGAGATTCATGGGATTAACTGGGATATTGCATTGTAAGGGTAATTTTAGCGCGAAGTTCGTTGTACTTGTGCATATTTAATGGAAAGACAGATAAGTTGCTTTTGACAGACGGGTCACTACTGTGAGGGATATGCCTTGGTTGTGTGATTTAGCATCGGTGTATATATTGAAGTGTTGCTTTGGACGCCCATTCGTACTCCATGATTGTGCGACAAGTTTCAGTCACGCTTCATTGGACCCTATACAATCAATGAACAAACGTCACCAGTGAACTATACTGTCACTCTCCACCGACCTTTCTTCGGATCGTCACTGTCGTGGTACGGAGATTGTCCACGTATCGCGTCTGAAGCCATTCGTTCGACGTGCAGTTTCCGTCTAAGATGCTTCCGGACTAGCAGGTCACGCGGGGGGGGGGGGGGAATAAGTGTTAGCATTATTTATACTGCGTCATCTTATCATATGTACATACTGATCATCATCAGTCTGACCTGTGTTATGGGGCAGAGGCTCGGCAAGTAAAAGAAGTGTCCTGCAGCCAACACGTTGCCTTACAGTATACATCTCCCAGCTAATTCCAGCGCTACAGAAGCTGAACGAACGAAACTGTACATACCCTAAACTGCTATGGTGTCTGTTTTCTTGTCACTTTACAGGACCTAACACATAATTACCGTAAAGACAAATGTCACGCTGCTTCTTCAATGTGCATGCAGTCGAGATGAATGTCAATGTTGATAGTACACCAATTATGCCAGCCAGGAAACTGTCCTTCAACACAGTCTTGGGAAGCCTACTCCTGTCTTCTAACCACTGCATCCGTTCCCTTTTTCAGCGTAAGGCACAGTAAAAGTCTGGTTCAACCATATTTGCTGCACGTATTGAGTGACAGCCCATGCAGGTCTCGCGTTGAATTTGCGTGGCATATTTATTGTTGCTAGCTCTTTTTTTTTCTTTTGTCGAACGCCCCTCCTCACAGATTTTTTTTATTCTCACCTGCCCTGACCACTGCAATGACGTACTGAATTCCCTTTCGCAGGTTGTTACCGGCAGCACGGAATCCCCGAAGAAGCCACCCTTGATTGAGAATAAACATTCTGCAGCCGCCTTCCACGAGCGGCGAGTGAAATTTTACCCGTGTGCGGACTCCATGCCTCGACAAGTTTGAAAATCACCCGAGAGCAGAGATCGCTGACGAAGAGCTATCCTAATGTCCCCCTGTCGCACCATTTCTCCCCAAAATCTGCTTGACGCGCCCTGCCGCTGTGGGGTCCCTGCGGCCCGCTGCCGAGCAGGTCGTGGGTTCGATGGCTCGCCGCGGCGGCCCCACTGCCGCTTAAGCAAAATGCAAGAAATCAGTTTACAATTTCCAAGAAAAAATGGCAGTCAATAGTCTCCGCTTGCAGTAGATTTCTTCGGCTCAGATATTTCTCCCCTGGTGACTAGAAATTAAAGATGCTTTAGAAACCCTACTGGTTCTGTTTTGCCGATCACTTCCATCAGCCTGGCTTACCCGCCACATGCAGCGTTTTGGAAAACCAGAACCAAGTGTAAGTGTACGGTTGCTTTCGGGGAGAAAAAAAAATGTCTCTGTTTAGAGGTGTGTGATTCCACGGTCAAGACCTGATCTATTCACACACGAAAATTGCTGTCGTTACTCCTTAAATGTTATTCTCCCAGCATTTGTCACCAACTCTTCGAATACAACAACCATTAATTTTGCAGAAATCACCGAGGGTGTCTTGTATGGAAAAATGCGGAGCTCATTCTGCTGCTTAAGGCATGGCGCATCCAGTCAGTAACCAATCACCGGCGTTATCTTTGCTGAACAGGAAAATACTTAGTGGCGAATCTCGCTGTCAGCAGTGTTTTGGTGGAGGTTCTAATTGAGGTGAGACAGATGAATGAGCACAACATGTGCAAATCGATTTGCTTACAACCCCACACAGGGGAGGGGGGGTGCTACGGTCGAAATAGAATTTTGAGCAATTTGTGGAGCCGCGAAATGTTACTTCTGGAGCTTGATAATACATATTTGGAGCGGGTTAATGTTGTATCTAATAAAAGCAGGAAGCGCAATGACGTCAATGTTGACGCACTGCAACTTATGTGCATATATTGCCAAGCAAGATGCTGGGGGCGGATCAAACTGTTCGCCACGAAACGTGTACCAGCTGCTGCCTTCTTGTTCCCAAGCTACAACAACTGTCGACGAGGACGTTGAAACGAATCTGCGTTGGGAAGGGGCGGATCCCGTGAAGGACGTCTGCAGGGCGGAGCGCACGCAGGCCCTCGCGATCTCCGACGACAGCGTAGCTCCTGCCGACCGGTTCGCCCTCCGCGGTCTCCTGTCGCCGTGCAGCTCTCGCATTGTGGTGCCCCGTCCTTGGACTGCTTCGACCGGATCCCCACTTTCCTATCTCCTTCTATTTTCCGTCGCTTGCCTCTCTATTTCTTCATCTATTTCCTTCTATTCTTTTGATACCTCCCCCCCCCCCCCCCCCCCCCCTATAAGGCACTGCGTCGTGTCGCCCTGGAGGCAAACAGAAATTAGGCGCCTTTTTCCTCTTTCTTACAACCACTCACCACGCAGGGCATGGCCAAGATGTGAGAATTCGATGCATTCCTGGGGGACGGTGACGAAGAGACATTGCTTCGTACGTGGAAAGATTCATGCACTACTGCCAAGAAGCCAACGTACAAGAGGAGAAGCTTAAGATGTCGGCCTTCATGCATAACGGCCATTGGCAAGAACGCGTACAAGACGCTCAAAGATTTGCTTCTACCGGTGACTCCTGCGGAGAAGAGTCGCGTAGACCTGATCAAGGTACTTAGTGATCATTATGAGCCTGTAAGTCGAATCATCCCAGAGCGATTCAGATTCAACAGGCGGTATACCAAGCGAGAGGTGAAACAGTTGCAATGTTTGCAGTTGCACTAAAGCACATAGCCGCTAAAAGCAAGTACGGCACATTCCTTGACGAGGCACTACGCGACCGGTTCGTCGCTGGACTGCGAAATCCTGAAATTCATACAGGTCTACTAAAGAAGGAGCTGTCGTTTGAATCTGCTTTGACAAAGTCGACATTGCCAAAGGCGTTGAAATGGCGGAACAGCCAGGAGTCGAGAGGGTTTCAACCTGGCAGTGGAACGGAAGCTGACGTCCATGCGATAAGGAAGTCATGCAGAAAAGCGGCATTTGCGGTCAAGCCAGGCAAGAAATACTAGGCAACAAAGACAACGTATCGCCGTTGCGGGCAAGAGCACGACGCTATTGTCGTCATCGGAAAGCAAGATGCTACAGCTGCAAACGCACTGGGTCACTTGGCTCGAGTATGCAGGACTAAATCCACCATGTGCGAAACAAACAATTCATGCAGTTGCCGACTAGCAAGATATGAGATGATGTTCTACGCCGTACATCACGCCGGCCTTGCGAAGCAGCCTTATGAGTTAGAACAATTATGCTCGGAAGGAAGCGTGTGCATATGCAAGTTGACACGGGAGCTGCTGTTTCTCTGATATTGGAAGACCTGTGGAAGCAACTAGTGAATCCTCCACCACTCACACAGACCACGGTCAAGCTCAAGACTTACGGAGGAGCACCGCTGGAAGTGAAGGGGGGCGTCGCGAGGTTCCGATCGGCAACGGACAGCTATTCTATCAGTAGTTGTGGTGCCAGGAAACAAGCCAGCGCTATTTGGACGCGATTGGGTCGAGAACCTGGACATCTACTTGTATGTAATTCACACGGTGCAAGCGGAGTTCGCGGCAGACAACCTTGTGAAAAGGTATGCCAGCGTTTTCACTCCTGGGCTATGACTGATAAAGAGCTTTCAAGCGAAACTTTTTTTAAAGCAAGTTAGCTTGCCAGTGCTCTGCATGGCACGTCCAGTACCATGCCATAAAAGAGCGAGTTAAAGAACTAGATAGCCTACAAGCTGATGGGGGATGGGGCACTGTTAGGTGTAACGCAAAGTGACTGGGCCACGTATTTGGTGGTAGTCAAAAAAACACGGAACAAAGTGCGTCTTTGTGGAGACTATAAAGTGACAGTAAACCCCTGTGTTAAAAATGATCACTACCCACTGCCAACTGAAGACATATTCGTGGTCCTAGCAGGAAGCAAAGTGTTTACCGTTTTGGACTTGTCGTCAGCGTACCAGCAAATTTAGCTGCATTCTGACTCGTGGCCCTTGTTGACTATAAATACGCACATGGACCTGTTCCAATATGTTCGAAAGCCTTATAGCATTTCTAGCACACCAGCAGTATTCCAAGCAATCATGGACGAGTTGCTGAAGGGACTAAGTGGCGTAGTTTAATTTGTTACCTTGACGATGTGCTTATCACAGGTGCTAACTACAACGAATGTCTGGCACGTGTAGAAGCAGTCTTGCATTGTTTCGATAAGCATGGTTTAAAAGCAAGGCACGAAAGGTGCAAATGTTTCGAGAAGTCGTAAGATATGTGGGCCACGTCATTGATGAGACAGAATAGGCGGGCACCCTTGCCTTGATAAGGTGGAAGCAATCAGAAAGGCTTCCTCGCCAAAAAATTGCACGGAACTAAAAGCTGCTTATCTTGGCATGTTGACAGTTTATTTCCGGTTCATGCCGAACACGTCACCCGAGCTAAGGCCACTATATCAACTTCAAAAAGAGGAACCTTGGGCATGGTCGTAGGAAACTTAAAAGGCGAAAAGCAAAAAAATGCTCACTCAGAATTCAGTACTAACCTTCTACGACCCTAAAAACCACTATGTCTGGTTTGTGGCGCATCCTCCTACGGAGTTCGAGCACATTTATTTCATGTTGTTTGCGGCCAAGAGAAGCCGATAGCATACGCGTCACGAACGCTAAGCAGCGCCGAGGAAACCTACGCGCACATCGAGGAGGCGTTGGCTGTGGTGTTTGGGGTAAAGCACTTTCATAAATACATCTATGGGCGCGAGTTCACAATTTATTCCGATCATCTTCCACTATAGCTAGCCTGCTTGGCCAGACTAAGCCAATTCCACAGATGGCTGCCGCGCGCATGCGACGCTCGATGCTTTTACTGGCGGCTTATCAATACAAGTGGACTTTTAGAAAAAGTGTGCAAGCCCCGGCGCGGTGGTCTAGTGGCTAAGGTACTCGGCGTCTGACCCGCAGATCTGGGTTCGAATCCCGGCTGCGGCGGCAGCATTTCCGATGGAGGTGGAAATGTTGTAGGCCCGTGTGCTCAGATTTGGCATGCACGTTAAACAACCCTAGGTGGTCGAAATTTCCGGAGCCCTCCACTACGGCGTCTCTCATAATCATATGGTGGTTTTGGGACGTTAAAACACACATATCGATCAAATCAGAAAGGGTGCGCAAGTGGCTAACGCTGACGCACTATCACGATTGCAGCTTCCGAACGAAGCAGACAAGAGTGACTACGTCCTGTTTTTCACCGTTTTGAAGCGGTAGCGCGTACCGCAAGCAAGATTCAAGCGGAAACTGAGGAGGACCGCACGTTGTCTAGAGTCAAACCGTTCGTTTTGAATAGCTGCCATGAAAGACTATCACATGTTCACAATGCACCCTATTTTGTCTGATGAAACGAGCTGTTTTTAGACTCTGACTGCATAACCTGGGGGCACTAGAGTAGTTATTCCTGCATCTTTGCAGCCAGAATTGTTGTAGCTTTTGCTCGAGGGGTACCATGGTACTACTCGCATGAAAATGCTATCAAGAAGTCACGTATGGTGGCCGAAGCTAATTGAACTGATCGAAGAGGCAGTTTGGCGCTGTTCAACTTGCCAGCTCAGCCAAAACGCTGAGCCCGCCATACCACATATGTCATGGGGACGGCCCACCAGACGGCAAAGAGTGCACCTAGATTTTGCATACTACAAACAAGACTGGTTTTTAGTGTTGGTCAATGCCTATTTTAACTAGGTGGACGTCATACACATGCAATCGACCCCGTAATTGAAGACTGCAGAAAAGCTTCGCACCGTTTTTGCAGCGTTTGGGCTTTCCGAAACAGATAGTGACAGATAATGGTTCTCAATTTGTGTCTGACGAATTAGCAGTTTTCCTCAGATTCAATGTGGTGCAGCACGTCAAGATACCACGCCGTACCATCCGGCTTCGAATGGGACAGCCTGCAGAGAGGCTCGTCCAGACGGTAAAGAACCTTGTATGCCAACTACGAGATGAGAGGCGCTCGGGACAAGCCCAGACGATTCAACACCGACTGAATCAGTTCCTCTTCACATACCACAACACGTCATGCTCCATGACTGGTAAGACTCGATCCTGCAGAGACTTTGGTGTCTTGGGCACAGCATTTTACACCCTGAATTAGCCAAGCGGTCAAAGCCTACCTCATCTCGAGACCAGGGACAGAAAAAGAACTGGAGGGAATTTGATGCAGGTGAACGGGTCCGGGTGAAAGGTATCTCACCAGGTGACCCGCACTGGTTAGAGGGAACGATTGTTTGTCGTGTCAACGTGGCAACTTGCATAGTTAAATTGGAAGGCCGGCTGGGAGCGATTCATGCATGCTGATGATATTCTCAATTATACAATTACTCCGCTTACCCTACCCAGAACAGGGCGCATCACTGGCATACCTCTAGCGCAACCTGGTCTGTCGACCCCTCAAGAAACAGAAAACTCGTACCGAGGTCCTGGAACCAACGACAGAAGCTAGATTCCACCGCCGCTGAACTACCTCTTGAACTTCTTCCACGCCGAAGCGGGGTTCGGCAACCGCCAGACAGATATAGATATGAATGAAAATAAGGTAGACAGTGTTGTATCTAATAAAAGCAAAAAGCACGGTGATGTCAGTACTGACCCACCCTAACTTGTGTGTATATATTGCCAAGCAAGATGCTGGGTGCGGATTAAACCGTTCACCACAAAACATGTCCCAGTTGCCTTGTTCCCAAGCTACAAAAGAGGTTAAAAAATTCTTTTTTTTTGTGCAAAGGACTCAAGTTTGGAGCATTTCAACAACAAATGCTTACATTTAGAAAAAACGATACACAAGAATGTGTACAAACTACTCACCATTAAAGTAACTCGTGCACAGTGCCTGTGAATACTGCTACTTGAATAAAAGCGATGTGTTAAACGACCCCAAAGTGCAAACAATGACTGTTGAAGTCATTATTAGCGTGTGCAACACCTGTCAAATCATTTGACAGCAGTAAAAATAGTGGTTCTGTTAACATGGTGACCTCAACATTTTAGGGATTCACAAAGCAGGAGCGAGTGGGTGTGGGGCGGAAAAAAAAAAAAATTGGCACGTGTTTTTGTTTATTCTCAAGGCCACGCAAACATCACACACAGCTCTCAATAAATGACAGTAATTTTAGTAAAACGTCGGCGGTACGTACTAGTACATTTAATTATACAGCGCATACATGAATAACTAGAAAAAAGTGCTTTGTTTTGTGCACAGCTAGTACTAATTGCCCTTTCTAAATAACTAACACGCTCTATTGCAAAACATTGGCGTACTACTGGCGAAAATGGCCCAAAAAAGATCTTTACATCATAGAACAAGGCCATGAAATTTTAGGACCAGTGTCCTTTTCCTTCTTTTTTCTTTTGCGGCAATGTTAGTGCATAGTGCCTATAGTATATTCTAGACATGATAGTTGAGATTTGCCTATCGTGATTGAATTGGATGTCGATGCCCAAACTGTTGGTGGCCCACACAGCCTCCATTTCCTGAGAGTTATTGTGGGCTGGTCGACCACTTTGACACAGCGTGACGCAATTTCAACCAATTTAGGTTTTGGCTCATCTTGCGGCAAAATTAAGAATTGTATCAAACTGGTGCAACTGTTACACTTGTTTGCATCAGCGTCAGAGGGTCTTGAGCACTACTCGATGCAGTGCTTCTTCAAAGCCTAATTTGCATCATTTTTGCAGTAATTGATTGATTGTTACAACTATAATTGGGCCACCTACATTTCTAGATTCAGTTAAACATTTAACGAAGCTAGCTGGTAGATCTTCAGCGCATTATGCTTATTACTACTCTGAGGAAACAATGAAAAACAAACTTGTAAAGGGCGAAGAAGTAGATGCTTGAACTACGCGATGTTTGTGTTCTTTTATGTCAATCCTTTGTTAGCCCCCTTGTTGTAATACTAAGCATGTTACAACCATGATCTATTTCTAGAATTTCACATTCAAGCCAAAGTATCAGTATGTTAGCATTATGTCCCAGAATTCAATTCAGGGTATATTTTTGCTTTCAAGCCACAGTCATTGAATAAATGTTTGGGCAGCTTGCTAAGTCCAACTTATTTTTAAAAATAGAATGTAGCAGTACCTTACTGATAAGTAATCATGTCGCAGCAGACAATGCAAGCCATGAGGTGTTAAAGTGAGCAATGCAGAAATGCAATATGACATTTCTAGACTTTTGTTGTCTTTTCAAGCTTTCCTTCGTGACAATAGCAACATTTCAATATGTACGATAACTTGCTCAAATGACTGCTCTCTTTAGTCTCTTCAAAGGGACACTTAAATGAGATACTAAATTAGTCTTGACTGATGAGTTATGAACCAAACTTCTTCAGCAGACTTTTCCCTTTTTTCAAGACCGTGGCTGCTTCTGTTGCTATTTCCTTTCCCAATGAGAAGTTCCCTTAGTTTTAGATAATGGAAAATATTACAGAAAGCTTTCCACTCACCCCAGAAAGAGTACTTCATCTCAGTTGAAGGCTATACATAAACCTGTATTACTTACAAACCTTTATTCTCACTTTATTCTGTGTCCTAAGCAGTTGCCTCGCATAACTGCCAGACAATTATGCTAAAACTTTCAAGAATGACCATGAAAATGAAAATGAGCTTCGATATAGGTTATGTCTGGTATCGCAATGTCATAGAGAATGCTACATGAATTTTTGCTTCCGTATAGGTCACCCTGTTCAATAAAGAACACAGTCGACTACTTCAAAACATCAACCTTTTTATTTACATGGTAGATCTGGCTTTTGGAAAATGCAAGAAGACACCGGGTTCGACGTCTCCTTGCTTGTTCACAACTTCAGATAGCTGACTATTGTCCAGTCTCGGGGACTAATTTAGGCTTACGCTATTTGGAAAGGTGGAAAGCGACAAGCATGGAACAAAACATAACGATAATCCGATAGGCATCAAGAAAGGTAAAAATCATAGCCAAATGGCAAACCAAAGTACAAGAAACTAGATTTATATACAATAATATACGTGCATTATTGTAGGTAACTTGAAAGGGAAAGCCATATTTATTATGAACACCAGCACTGAGAGATCACCTAGTGCTCCACACAGTGAACAAGAATGTATACAACACTAACAATAACAACACTCACATGGCTGGTGTTAATCTTCAGATCAAATGGTACACTTCATAGCCTTCTTCTCACCAGCTTACAGCACATGCTTCTTCAAATTATAAGTCCACTCAGTTTGCCGGGTTTAGTATTTCAGGATGTGATGTACACTGCTGTTTTTTTCCATTAGTGCTGCTTTATAGCTGAAACTTATTGAGAGAAGCACTAAAGCATGGCACAAGACAACACACAGGCAAAGACTGGGATGTAGGTACAGATTTTACTTAAAAGAAGACTTATATTAAGAAGCCAATGCGCAAGTAGCTATGCAGACATGTAGTCTCAAATAAAATCTGGCTCTTGACCCAAACCGATGCTTTCTCCATCATTTCGTACTCCCCCAAAGTTTCAATACACAAGAAGCTCAATTTTCGACTCTTCTACTTTATAGCCTTGTCTCTATATAGCAATTTACTTCACCCGGTGCCAGCCACAAGCAAAGCACTCTGCATGTAGACCTATGATGCACTAGCTTCCAAAGCACGGTGCAAGTTGAATCGACTATATTGATGCAGGACAAGCGCCATCATTAAATTATGAGTGCATGTTTGTGTGTCCTTCAAGAGGGCAACGGTGCACTGATAAAACAATCATTAATGGCTGATTTTCGTTGGCCATGATTCAGTAAAGAGTAGAAGTGAATAGTTTCTCGAAGACATTTGGCAATTATCAATTTCCTACAATAAATGCTGAGTTTATCTTCAGTTTACTTAGTGGGCACTAGTGAGCCAATCATATATGGTTAGTAGGCTTGTGCAAATAGTAAATGTTAGGTGCAAAGCGAATAGCGATTTTGGTCGAATAACTTCGAATCGAATAGCATTTATACCACACATAATAAAAAAAAGGCATATTTGTCATGATCTAACAAACCTGCAGAATATATTTAAAAATTTGGGACAAGGCCTGTGCAAATGAATTTTTTGTTCTTCTGCATCAAAGAAAGCAGCAACAACTTTCAATAGTAGCATAATTTGACTTTCGCTAGAATGCAAGCAATAGCCCATAAAATATGTTATTTTTAAAATTTGCTATACTTATAGCATATAAATAGGTATACCAAGCTTTTTAAACTTAAAAAAATGAATCAATGTCAGGGCAATATCCTCATTGAGTTTTGAAGTGGGGCTTCGTGAAAGTGCGTGTTTCCCGTAAATACGTGTTTTCACGGCTTAGCACCCCTTCATTGCAGTGAAACCACCTTTACGAAGTAACACATGTGGATTATTATGCATTTATACGTTTGTTCCGAATAATTCAGAACTTTTAATATTTTAAATGCGATTCAAAGCAATTTTGTATACTGCATTATTTGCTCGAATATTCAAAGCATTCGAATATTCACACAAGCCTAATAGTTCTAATAGTTACGATAGTATTGCCAAACTACATGAACTGTGCACTGCAACATAGTGATTGCAAGTTCTGCACTTCGACAGATTTGAAATAGCGGGCCCAAGTTAAGAGCTATTTATCAAGCTTTTGTGGACTTTGCTATACTAGTTGGTCATACAAAAAATGAAGTCTGCTATTCTGAGCTTGCTGCCCTTGCTGAACCATATTGGTTCGACAGACACTTTTCAACTGGTGCTGACGTGTACAACTCTGAAAGTAGACAACTTAACTTTGTTTTTATATAAACCTTCTTTCTATGAATGTTTCAGAATGTTCAACCAAAATAAGCAAGTCCTGCATGTACGGTACCAAGGTTCCTCTCTCCAACTTGAATACAGATTTTTTCCTCCAGACCATCTCATACCAGACATCACAACTTCTTACACAAAGAGAGTGCATATCGTAGCAGTGCAGATTGCAATGCTAAAAAAAAAAAACAGGCTGAAATGCATAAAAATTTCAAAATTACATTCAACAGGAACGGCTTCCAGTAAAGGTGGAACAAAACAAAAGTGTCCAGTGTTTTTGCAACAAATACGGGTTCACACTAGGCAAAGGATGAAGAAACATTCAAAGAGGTGCTACATATGTAGAAGAGCAGTTTTATCTCTGATGCGCTTGGTAGTATTGGCCTTTTCTTGAAGTAGACCTGCTATACATATTGAATGGCGAGTTTTCAGCTTGCAAAGTCGTTCAGATGCCCCACAACGTCGAATGCAACTGTCCTGGAAACGAAAAAATGGCTTATTCAGTTAATAGCAGAACTAAAACGTCCACGTTACCTTATATAAAGCATTCGAAAACACCCCTTTCGGTGTTACATTTCATGCCAATTTGAAGCAGCATTAAAGGAAAATGCTAAACCTATTCAGGCTGATACAGCATTTTTTAAAACTTCTTTTAGAAGTCTTGCTGTAACGGCTGACAAGAACAGCTAACAGAGGCCAAGCATTCATTCCGTACTCATTGAGCTCAAACTCCAGCACAGGCACGCCAGTATGACATTGTGATACCGTGGACTTCATGGATTCGTGCTACAAACCTTGCCACGGCGCGGATGAAGTCCAGGTCAACAAGGCACTTGTAGCGAGGTGTGCTCAACTGTTCTTCCCGACTCACTCGTGCCAGAAGACGCAGCGAGACCAGGCTTTCAACCTTGGAAATTAATGAGAGGCAAGGCTATGAGTCATTAAGAGTAATTTACACAACACAACAAAGTACTCTAGAGATTCACTAAAAAAACTAACTAGGAAGAGCACAGGAAAGCATTGTTTGTGTTAAATCACTCTAAAAGTTAGTACTATACTCCTATAAAAATTTTAGATATCTGGGAGACCAATGTCTGAATGAACACATAACAGTCAAAGGCAATGTTCTCATTCATCGTATTCTGCAAGCCTTCCAACTAACTCAACAATCTTTTGGCCAAGGCCCAATGCCCCACAGCTATAAAAGCAGTACTCCAGAGAAGGAAAGATGAAGTGGTTGTATCTAGCACTGCTCAGGTGTTATCGCTAGTGAATGTTATTATTGCCACTCACTCCTGCTACTTCATAGAGTGAATGGAAATAAATGCAGCCATCAATTTTGCAAAAGTATTATAGAGGTGTTGACATAGCAATTTATTTAATGCTATAGGCCATTTTCCAGAATTAACAACCACACCAAAGCGTCTATGGCCATATCAGGATGTGTCATAATTCCACAGCAGTAGACACATTGACTGCAACCCTCACAAATGATGCAAAGCAAGTTTTAGTTGCAGACAAATCCAGCAAGCAGTGTCCACACGTGTTGCAAAGCCCACAAAAAAGTGCTGCCTCCTTATGAATGAAGCATCGTCTTAGCTGGGAGCCATGTATATCTGGCACTCCTATTTATTACAGACAATTTTCCTGTGAGAATAATAGAGAGTTACAGAACATTGAGTACGAACAAGTGGACATCCAGAACTCGAAAACCGCAAGGATACAACTGCAGAGGTCAGAGACTAGCGCATGTGACCGTTTACCAGAGCAGCAAAATGATTTGCACTGGTACTGAAAACACTGCTTTCTATAGGCTACCTTAGCTTTATAATATGCATCATGCACAATGCTTTTAGTGGCATCCTTTGGAACAATAGTGGCACGCGTCCCGACTTCGCTGTTCCTGTCATCAGTAACTAGTTGTAAACTATTTTCACGGTGGCTGTGAGTCCTTTTTTAAATTAAACATGACGAAACAAGCATTAAGTATGAATATTAGCAACAGAACTACTGATGCACCTTTGCAGACAGCTTGTTTCCATTGGGCCGCTCACCTGTGCAAGGGTTACTGCAGAGGGGGCTACGTGCTCGTCCACAATAGCATGGAAGATGGCCACTAGTCGGTTGAGGGGAAACTGCTTGGGACCCAGCAAGTGCTGGCTTAACTGGTTGGCCTGCATTGACATCCCCAATCACTCCCACATGAGAGAAGGCACAAGATTGCATGCTATTTCCCGAGTATGCAACAAAATGACTGTCGTCTGGCAGCTGTTTTGTTAGTGCCTTGGAAGTTTTGGCACTGTCATAACTAACATGCCACTACCTAGAGACCCAGTCAAGCGAGCAAGAAACAGAGTTCCTGCAATTTGTCACAAAGCCAACAATATTTAATGCAAAGAGTAATGGTCCTTACATGGTTGTCTAAACTACCGTACATAACAGCTGTGGTTTGGTGACTATCTTGTAGTGGCTTCAGCTTGTTCAGTTACATTATCAACGTTTTAAGTTACGTGTCGTCATTTGTGCTGTTCAAACCTGAGCACAAGAACAACTACGAGCTTCGATTCTCTCTTCCCCAGGATTTTCTTAAAGAAGACTTCTCAGGTTGTATTGTGACTACCTTACATCAATGGTAGTGTAACAAACCTTTTGTTTACTAACTTACAGCACACAGCCTCATGGACTGTGACAAGAGAGCCTTAGTGACATCCTTGCAATAAATCCAATATGCACACAAATGAGTGACAAGAGCAATCGGGTAGCGCCATTTGGTCATGGTCATTATGAAACCAAAGGAGCAATATGGTTCGTATAAGAAATTTTGACTATTACACAACCTGATGCATCATACAAGTTGGTTAGTAGAGAAGAGTCACCAAGAAACTGAAGAAGAAAGGACAAACACCCACTTGCAAATTGAAGTAATACATTCCAAGGAAGCAATATGACAATGCATTGCATTTCGAACACCCATGTGTGCCCATCTGCATCCTTCGAACGTACTAAATGAGCAACATATGATATATAAACAGGGCAACGAAGAAGGTTTGCCTTCAGTCACTGATCACTAGCTGCTTGGGTGTAGAGTCTCAAATAGGCCTAACTCAGCCTCTGAAGCTGACCGACAGCATCATCATCCCAATGGTCACTAATATCAATGGAGCAGCACAGCATGAATGCCCATGGAACAACTAGCATAGCCAGCGTGTTCGCCAACCTTAATACTAGAGAAAAAGCGAGAGACTAGGTATTTCTCACTATATAGGCATCTACAAGTAGGACTAGTCCCTGCATGTACCATACGGGCGAGAGAGTAACCAATTGCGCTCTTACTAAATCGTCCACTTAATTACCCCCGGGAGACATCACGAGCCAAGATTTTGTATCCATCTGAGAGCTGCAGAATGCTACTGCATCATCACACATTCTCTCCGCTGTGTGTTGTCATTGGCAGGATCACCAATCCGTAAGTTACCTCTGTGACAGCTTTCCTTTTCTACACACACCTTGCCCCTTCCTCACAGCCTCTGCCCTTATCTCCACTGTCAGGTCATCACCCACCACAGAGTTTAAACCAGCCAGAGGCCTCAAAGGTAACATCACCTGGAAAGTGACCTCTGTTGTTCAACAATGTTTTTACTAGTAGTACTGATCACAGTGCCAAATCCATCGCACTTCGCCGAAAATAAAAGCTTGCTTTAAAAAAATAGACAATACAGTGCCCATTGTCTAACCTTTTTCTGCCGCTTGGTCCCTGGACCTCGTGCCTGCATGAAAAATAAGTACAGATTATGACTGAAAATTGGGTGTCATGATCCTTTAAGGCTACGTGCACAATCGCATGCTTCGCAGTACTAACAAGAGACCAACCAGGCACCCAAAAAGCAGGCCGTCTAAAGACAGCTGTAGAGTCGAAGAAGAATGAAGAGGATCTTGAGTGTCACCTTGACAAAAAACTTGCGGTCCGTGCCTGGAGGGTTGTACGAAGCCAGGTAAGCAGCCAGAAGCAAGAACCGTGCGTGGAATGGCAACTCGATTCGAACAGGCTGCTGGCTTCCGCTGGGTACATGTACAAACACATACAGGCTGTACATTGTGTGCACTTGTAGGAATGCTTAGATATAATCATAACATGATAACTCATTGCTACAAATTGACGAAAGAACCACGCATATGGCTGTCAAAGCCCTTCTGGATGAGAATGTACCGTAATTTATATTCTAAATAGAATCAGCATCGCTGAGGTCACAATCTGGTAACATATGAAGGCGTGCTAGGATGTACATATAGCACTCATGTATTGACACGCGACATTACTTTCTTTACTGCAACTTCTGTAGGCCGGTGCTCAAGAAAATCGCATCATGTCGCAATCGATTTGGCAGCTCGATGCAAGTCTTTCAGTCAAAGCTATGTACATATGATATAGACTGATTATCCTCAAAACAGAGGTATGTGCGTTACTTAGTACTAAATTTTCATACTTCAATCTATGAGTACCGTACATATTATATATGGGGGACCTCCGGCATTTTTTCGATATTCACAGATTTCAATAAACTTTGAACATGTGTTCTCGTCGGTAATATGGTGATATGTGCCAAATTATGCAACTGTAAGTCATTTAGTTCTTTAGAAAACAAGTTTCGAAATTGGTAGCTGATTTTGGAATCACACTTGTAAACGCAGGCCACCTTGTGTTTCTGACGTAAGAGCCTACTCATTTTCAAAAACCCCGCCCTTTTCAGCAGACGAATTCAGCACGCGCTTTCTTCTACGAGGTGACGACAACACAAGAAAACTTCAGTTTTGGCAGCTGCATACAGAGCTGCATTAGTCGCCGTTGACGTTGGGTCTTACAATATTGAGCAACGAGGAGAACGATTCGGGGCATGCCAGATGCTTCACGCGCCGGCGGGTCGAAATCAAAAAGCGATGCTTCTGCGTTGAGATCGTAGCTGCAGTCATCGCTGAACTTGTCATTGGTAAGTTCCGACGAGCTGGCACAGCTTGATTCCGTGTCAGATGACATTGCCAACTTGCTTTTTGCATGCCGGAAGAAGCACGTGAGCTATGTTTACACCCTGAACAGCCGTGGCGGGGTGTAGCAAATTTTATGACATCGTCAGAGACAGATTTTCGTGACGTAATTCGATACCCACCATGGAAGATGGAGCATCTCTTTGTTTCTATTTCTGTTCTGACTCATTATTCATTGCTTAATAAATTTTTTTAGAAGTGCCTTAGCAAAATGAACCACCCTAGCTGTTGCAGGACTGTCCATACTATTTGAAAACAGCATTATCTCAGTATGGTGGAAAATGCACCATATTCCCCCTTTAAAAACGCTTTCGTTAATTTATATTTGGCTAAGCCGATGGCAAGAGAAGAATCAGGGGCATTTGCTATGGTTTCTGCACCACAAAGACACGCAATGTCAGAGCAGTTAAGCTACACATTGGCGTGTTGTTAAAGACTGGACCTGAATGTATGCCAAGGTCTGATGCCTACCTGCTCTCACGAAGGTAGACTGACTGGAGACGCTGACGGAGGCGCGATGCCACCTCTTTCCGCCAGGAGGCACCACATTCACCTCCTGGAGTGTTGCCAATGCCCACCGCAGCGTGCTGCAGTTCCCTCAGGCTTAGGGTGGTCCCTCCCAATACCGTTGGCAGCAACGTATCTCCACCCAAAAGCTGGCTGAGCTCCGAAGCTGTGTACTGTGGGAAGTGGACACGGTAAGGTGAGCTGTCTCCTGCCTCCCGGAACTTTTCCCAGGGAACGCGAGAGAGTAGTATGCAGCACAAAGGCCGCCCGGACAGTTCTCGCAGGCGTGCCAGTGCACCTAGCAGACCTTGGCCGCGTAGTCGCTCAGCCTCGTCCACAACCTGCATGGGTGCCGAAAAAGTTTGAGCTAATAGAAATATGTACACTTCATATGATTCCAACAGTATATTTAGGGCACAGCACAAACAGGCAAAGAAAAGATTCCAGAGTTGTTGCCATATTAGGAGAACGAGAGGCAAATGAAGATTGGTGTCTGCGTGCCCGACGCACTACTTCCCTTTCTTTACATTACATTGCACAATGCTCCCTCCCAACTGTTTTCTTCCTGCATGCCAGGAATCAGATTGCCATTTGCGTGCTTAGCAGCACAACACTTCACTTGCTACAGGCAAAAATGACAATCATGTGGACAATGGAACGTGGCAAGGTGAAATGACAGATGACCTCGATAACCTCAATAAAAGATCAAATCACTGTATCAGAAATGAATGATCGCTGACAAGACCGCAATCGAGGTAGCACCAATCAGAGGGAAAATGCCACATTAAAGTATGCAAACACGCCTTGCTCGCGAGCACTGGGTTCTGTTTCAAGGTCACACCTACAATGCCAACAAGACTTGTGAGGAAATGCAAGCTTCACTTGACAACAAAACAATGAATTTCCACTCCCAATTTACATTCAGTCTTTATGCATCCCTTTTTGTGCTGTAATCATTGCCAGCCAGTCTTTTGTACCCTGCAGAACAATGGCCAGATATTTCTCACGGTGAAAGTTACCCATGCTGCATTTATGAAACGCAGGTTTTCAAATTGGGATGAACAGCTGACTGAATGAGTAAATACTTGATCATGTGATATGTCATCACGCACCACTCACATAACAATAAAGGTAACAGAAGAAGAAATGGCCTTAGTTGCAATTAAGCACTTATCTTATTCAGTACCCTACTTGTTGACCTGCCTTTTATAAACATCAAATGACAAGAGGTCTGGAAATCACTTTCGTATTTGATCATTCTATCCAACTCTCTGTTATCCCTGATAGCACTTTCCTTCACTTTGTACTATGTCATGCTACTCTAATGGACCACTAGTTATCTGTTCCAAACATTATGTGACCTACCAAAAACTGACTCCTAAATCCTATCAATGATATTCATCTGCATTTAATTTCTCATTCACACTAGCTCATTATGTTTGGACCTTATACTGATTACATATTCACAAGAGATGCATAGAATAATACCAAGACCACTGCATAAAGCCAACACATTTCAGCAAGGAAATAAACGATCTGCCGATCCGAGAAGCTTTTGAATCAATCGTGCTTTTCAGCTATCAGTCGAAAATGCACTGAACCACAACTAGCCATCTTATGGCTTGAGGCATCATTTCATGTAACTGAAACCACCAAGTTCTGTAACTAGGCAAAATAAGGCTGCCTGTCTCCATCCTACCCTAACATTTACCCTAACATCGAGTACAGTTTAAACAGTGTAACTACAGGTTCTTCGGAAAGTTACCTATTTCATATTTTACCATAACATGTGGATATGGTACAATATTGATCTGGTCAGATTTGTTTGCAACATTATTAATGCGCAACAACTCATAATTTGAAGCTGCTCCTCATTCAAGCTCTTCTTGACAGAAAGTCTATGATTTGACGGCTGAAACTGCATGCTACAAGCATGTTCAGCTAAAAAATATAATAATAATAATAATAATAATAATAATAATAATAATAATAATAATAATAATAATAATAATAATAATAATAATAATAAGAAGAAGAAGAAGAAGAAGAAGAAGAAGAAGAAGAAGAAGAAGAAGAAGAAGAAGAAGAAAGATAACATGGGCTTACGACGTAGGCAGGAAGTGCTTCTTGAAGCCCCTCTCCAAGGTGCCTGACGAAGTCGCACAAATTGTCACAGGCATCAGTGCTGCCAATCAGCTGGCTAAGCACAGCACCGAATAGCAGCCGAGGAGTATAGGCCTCCAAGCCACTCACAAAGGCATGCCGCAACTGCATGAGCAATGACGCCACACAGTGCACTATGACATCACTGCTCTGCACACTAGTGCACGTGAGGAAGCTTGCCCGCTTGCGATGCATGCCAGATCAATGCTTGTCACTTGTCATGCCTGCGTCCATACCCGCTTCATTAATTTAACTTATTCTCGAAGATGAAAAGAAGCCTCTGCTTAGCATAGCAGCTTGCTTGCCCTAACGGTGACTCCATCATTTTATAGGTAGCTGCAGTTATCATTCAATCACAACAGCAACGGGTTGCCACAGCTGAGATAGCCAGAGTGGCACAAACATTACAGGGTGCTATCATCAATTCATACCAAAGCGCATCAGATCTGCTTTGAAGGACCCCAAAACAGGCCCCTACACAAATTTCGGCAACACGGTTATAAGGTGTCATCCAGAGAGCATTTTAACCAAAGAATATTTTTTAAATTGATTCATTATTAGAGGACTTATATGAAATAAAACATACTTGTTACCATGTCAGCAATAGGCGAGCCTTACTGCCAACAGGATAGTTTTTTTTCTTGAAGACAAATCTGGGCACCACGATCTATGCGAGTTTCTTAACACGCCCTGTGCCATAGCAGGGATGATGGTATGTTCTGTGAAGATATGTGTTGACTGAATACAATCTTAACAAAAGGTGACCAATTTACCATATTACACGGTTCGACATAGTTTACTCAACTGCAATTGATAGCCAAGCGGTGTAAAGATTCAACCCATGACAAATCGTTGCAGTCCAACCTTAGGGAACCACTGAAACTTTTTTGCATGCTCCATAATTATGCATCCAAGGCAACATCCTCCCAACCAAGAAAAATGTGTTGTGTAATACAAAAGACAAAACAGTCTTTTGCACAGGTGGCGCTGGTAGCACCATACCTGGGTACATTTTTTTTTACTTTCGTTTCTACCGGTGTGTGTGTGTGTGTGTTTATCTTCAGCGTCGGCGGGATTGTGGACTTTGAGGGGAGGGGCTTGATGGGCAGGTGCGAATGTGACTTGGGTTAGAGAGGGGTGAAGCAAATGCCCTTTTTGTGCCCCTTGTTTCCTCTTATGTCTGTGTTTGCACGCATACCCTTCATTTGTGATGATGCCACTATTCTAACGAATTATTTATTCGTTTCCGTGCGTTTACGCTCACGAATTGTGTTGGAAATAAAATCTTCAATGAACACACTTACGTTGAGCGTTTTCATGATACTCTGCACCGTACGTGTCTTCCCAGTGGACGCGTGGCCGTAGACAAAGATGCATTGGCACGGTCCGCCGAGCGGCTGTAAGTGAAACCAGAGTTAGAAACAAACTTGAAAACGTGTCCTCAGTACTTACGTGACCAATCGCAGCTAGAATAGTCTCCACCTGTTTTTCTCGGCATGGATTTTGAGCTAGCACCGACTGCACGCTACCGACATCCATGTTTAGCTATTCCGTTTCGTTTCTGGCGCGCGCGGCAAAAAAATAGCCAGAACCGTAGTCAGTTTGCGTAGTCGCAGCCAGTCCATGGTGGTTGGCGTTCAATCGCGGAAAAAAAGCGGCAGAGAAAAACTTTTGCAAAACGTTTAATTTGAAACATTTCTAATGAGCAAAAAAAAAGTGGGGCTGTAGCTTGTGTAGTAAATTTGCCCAGTACAGGTGGTGATGACAACCTTTCTCCACAAGATCACCGCCCTTTACCCGTGATTGCGATTCACTGCTGCCGTTTCAGCAGTATCCCACCGATTGAAGCTATCTCCTGTGCTAGATAAAGTGTTGCTACATCATTCACGCGCTTGAGATATAAAACAAGCGCTGTATTGTTCGCTGAAGAGGCTTCCCGACAAGAAGCAGCTGCATCAAACACACCAAACCGTTAAACGCCGCCCCCTTTTTTACTTCACCAGCTGCCGCTTCGCTTTGAGCCGGCACAAGTGGAGAACCACAAGTCAACTGACGTACGTATCACAGAAGCATGAGTTATTCGAACTATTTATCTTTCTCTTTTCTTGCACCGGACTGCGCGCACGCGCGCGTGACTACTGAGCAAGCTATCGAGTTTTCGCTGATCATGCGCCCGAAACTGTTCTCGAACTTGTTCGCAATGGTTTGGAAATGCGTTCACATATCGTTAATTACATTCGTCGTGAGCTACGCCGATCGGACGCGAAACTGGGTGTTGCTGCGAGCTGAAAAGTGTCGAGCCATTATGTCTTGCGCGAAACTTGTGTGCCGGATTCGCATCTCGCTCCTGGAATAAAGATCTGCGTCCTGTCCGAGTTCTATCGCGCACCGATTTTGGACGCCGTAGGTCTGTGCACCTGCACGGCGGCAGATGACTCGCTACATCAAACCTGCTCAAACGACTAGTCTCAAATCGCGGCTTTAAACCTGTGCACATAATTTTGAGTAGCAAGTGCCTTCCTCGTAGGCACCATTCTGGGACATCTCGGCGATATTTCACGACAAATAGAATTGTTTGTGCCCTTGACATTGAGCGTGCGCAGCAGCTGCAGTACTTGATGGTTTAAGAGTCACAGGCGTGATGCTTGAGGTACAAAGTGTGCATGCACTCCTCATCATGCCAGATGTTCGGAAGTTAGATATGATTTTAAAATTTTATTTGTCATGTTAACGATCGAGGCTTGTGCATATTGTAGTAAAATCCTGTTCTGGGCAGTTGTGGGCACAGTCACACATGGTGTCTAGTATTATTTTCCTTATCCGTGTTTTCTTATTGCACTACAGTCACATCATTACACTGCACATTGTGCAACTTCAACAAAAAATTCTTTTCTACAATTGACTGCTCCACAAATGCTACACTCCGCAGAATTCATTGTGCATCTTGGATGGGCTCGATTAGCAGAATTTTGTGATTTAGCAGACTTTGCTTCTTTTCAGGGAGATGCAAGGCATGTGGCTTCTGCTCACAGCTGTGCTGTGCTCCAGCACCGCACACGCTTTCAAGGCTGCCGTTTATGAGCACGTACAAAGTAAAACCAACTCTACAGAACAAGCAGTTGCAGAAAATTTACAGGCATACTGGTGGGCCACTGAAAATGCATCCAGTGAGGTACGTATCAAACGCAATATTGAACTGTGCCAATGATTCACTTCAGCCATAATAAGTGGAGATACAGAAATGAAGCACCATTATTCTTCAAATCCCAGGTGGTAGAAATTTCCGGAGCCGTCCACTACGGCATCTCTCATAATCATATGGTGGTTTTGGGACATTAAACCCCACATATCAATCACCATTATTCTTCACTCAGTGAAAGCAGCTTTTAGATTATTATCACCTGCTAGGGCCTATTTTTTGCAACAGTGTGCACAAAAATGTAGCACTATAGTGGTGATTACTATGCTGTCAACTATGTAGTGAATTCACATCAGTGCTCTTAACAATACATTCAGCTATTTGATCTTACGGTGATGTCGCTTTGTATCATAAAAAGTAGGAGAGCCACGTGTGCAAGAGTCTTGTTAGTGGAGTTCCTTCTACATTTGTACTTCATCACTAAGAGTGCTCTCTCACTATTTTGGTCGTGGATTATTGTGAAAACAGTCAATACGTAACGTAAATTTATTGAACTAGTCTTAATGCTTGATCATACGTAGTACGTCACATAAATCAATTGCAATGCTTAATCATACATGTCCCTTAGAGAGGCAACATTATTTACATCAAACGTCGTGATGGGGCAGTTATCAAACACCTGCCAGTACGAGTAAAAATTCGATCAATAAGTGTCCGTAATACACATGACTCATTCTGACTTATGCAGTGGTGCATCCTTGGCTGCAGAGCGTGAACTGTTGCCACTGTGCTTCTTTGTGTCATCAGGCCCAGAACTGTGGCTACTCCGTTGTGGCACTTCATGAATGGTACTGCTCGAAGCAGCAGCTGTAGTGCCAATCGTGGTTTTGCTGACTGCTGTTGCGCTAGGCTCTGTGGCACTAGCTGCTGACTCATTTAGCGCACTTTCATTCACTTGTTCAGCGGCAGTGCCTGAGGGTTTTCTTGCTTCTTGATGCATGTCGGAGCTTTTCTTTTTGTGGATTGACGCAGTAGTGTGCATCAACGAATCAGAATTTGTCGATTCATGCACTGGTGTAGAAGTGCCAGATATTTTAGGGCTACTGACACTCTCCGGTGTGGAAGCCAAGCTAGGCCCTTTCACATGCTCTTCTCCGGCGCACTGAATCACAGCGTACTCGCCAGTCACCATCCAATTAGACGACCTCTGTGCCACTTTATCGAGAATCACTGGGTCTATGCCCACCACAGTGTCTGCTTTTAGCGTGCGCAAGGCACACACGAACGTTGGCTCAAAGCCTCGCAGTGCTTGCTTGAAGGGAACAGTGGGGTTCCAATTAAGGTCACCAACAAGTTTTCTGTAGTTGAGATCTCCTTTGAAGAGTAGTAAATCGGCTGACTGCAACAGGTTGTAAAGGTCGGGCCGTCTCGTTGCCATCTCGGCATAGTCGAATGACTGTGTCCAAAAAATGTCGTCCATTACGTACCACACTCCTTGCATGATTCGATGCTGGCACCGTTGGCTCAGCGCCTGTGTTGCGGTGTGGTCACTGTCTTCCATCTCGCGCAGTGTCCAGAACAGGTCCCGCCACGTCACATCGGACACAAACCAAGGGATTGCCTTAACATGGATTGTCACTCTGTTCACGTATTGGGTCTCGTGAAGGAAGTCCAGGAGAACCAAGTCAGTAGCCAGCTCATAGCCTGAATTGTCCAGCACGCAATGCAAGTGAACAACCTCTCCATCAAAGTTGCGTTCTCGGAGCCTGCATAAGTAGTGCATTAACCTGTCGGTGTGACTACAAATGATGTACGGTCGAAGTCTTTCAGTCAGCTGCAGCGAGCCTGCTTGTGTTGAAGTGTCTGTACCAGAAGACAGTGAAAGGTCGCACCGATTACCCCAAAGTGACAGCTCGACGAGCCTGCAGTATGCAATGAGACAATGAGAAAGCATCAGCTGAGATAACACACTTAACTACATAGATAATATTTGTGCATTAAGTGGTACTAAAATCCATTATAAAACATGGCAAAAGTGTTTTTAAAAAGTTTGCAAGACACCTGCAAAGCTTCCTCGATGAGTTTGCTGTTAGCACCAAATTTTCGTGGAATAAAAGACCGCATCTAACATGCGCAAAAATCCATATGAATAGACAGCAGTGGCTATCTTGCAACAGATCGCTTGGTCTTACAAATCTGGAAGCTGTTGCATGTTGCCCGGCAGTCATATGCATGACTGGCCAATAGCAAAAGGTCTGGGGAAGGATGTATGCGAGTGGATGTATTGCCAACACTGCACAGAAAAAACAAATAACCAGACATTTACCCATGTCAGTAGAAAACAAATTAATACAAGTTTTCCAGAAGTATGTCGCTTTGTACAACAAAACATATTGCTGTGCGTCACATACGAATGGAATGACGCCACTGTTAGTACCAAGTAGCCGATTTCATGCTATGAACATGAGAAATTTGTTGCCAAAGCCGTTGCATGAATGGGGCTTGTTTTGTAAGTGACAGTTCACAGGATGGTGTCTCTGTCTTATTGCTTTTGCATAGATTTTCATGTGTATGGAATTTGGATTAGAATGTGACAGTCTTGTCATAACTTTCCTTTTTTGTATGCACTTTGACACGGCAAGCAGCTGTGAACATTAAAAAGATGGTCTTTAAACCCTGCTTATTTTAGATATTACTCACAGCACAGTGATCACAGTGATCAGCAGTAAGAAGATACTCACCTGTACGTGGTTTGCTGGAGGGTCTCTAAAGTGGCATCTCGAGGAGTATTCCAACGCAAAATGTCGCACAGGGCACGCACTGCATTGAATGAGCCGTAAAGAGCGTCCTGCTTGAGCTTACTGAAGGGGTCGTAGTCTCTCAGCTTGGCTGTGAGCCGGAATGCTTCGAAGATGCGCCGATAGAAATAGGTCTCAATGTAGAGCCAGGGGGCTTCATACCAGTGGGGTTCACGACCATTTTTTGACGTGTACTCCTTCAGCACGTTGTTCCATATTTCTGCATCCTCAAAGTCGTCTTCTACGGGTGTCATGGGTTTGTTGGTAACCATTTCGTTGCGCAGCCTGGCGAGGCGTCCCACAATCTGTTTGGTCTCCTCGCGTGCCTCGGGGCCCAACACTCTCTCTATCTCCATCCGGTCCCTGAAAACGGTGTCAATGACTTTCGTCAAGATGACCGGCAGCCTGTCACGCACTGTTTCGTAAGCAAAGCTGTCTTTATACTTTGCACTGAGGGGCCGCAGCAGTGGAGCCACAGTCTCTTTTTTTATTTGAGCATCTGCTGAACGCTGCTTTGATGTCGCCATTGACCGCTTCCACCATGGTATTCTCACCGGCTGTTCGTCTTGCGGCTCCTTGCCCTGTGCCTCCTCACATTCTTCTTTGCCTGAAGGCTCGGTCGGTGGCCCAACTGGAGATTCGGTCGTAGGCTCAGCTGAAGCTCCAGCTGTAGGCTGAAGTGGAGGTTCAGTTGTAGGCTCAGCTGGAAGTTGTGTCGGAGGTTCACCAGCAGACGACTCTAGCGCGTCTGGCCGCCTTGCGGTCGTGGACGATGCGGACGCGCGCGGCTTTGAGGACACTGCCTTGTCGTCCTCTGCGAAGCCCTCGTTTTCGGGTCCCAGCGAGAGTTCGCTGGGTGTCGTGGAGAACGGGCCCTTGTCCGTATCGGAGCGCCGTTCTCGCGACATCAAATCTCGCGGCGGTGACTTTCCGGCGGAGAAACTGTGCCACGCGGGAACCACTTCACCTTCCGACTGCGCCCACAAAGGCTGTAGGTCCGTGTCGGCAGCTCCTTCGATTAACGCCGAGCTCGGTCGTTTCTCCGGAGAGTCCCGCCGCGATTGGCTGCGCGGGGCAGCGGTTGGCGTTTCCTTTTCGCTGCCGGATCGCCCAGACGTCATCGGTGTCGCCGATTGGGATGCTGCTTGGTTCTCTTTCGTGTTACGTTCAGCCGCATTTGACGACTTTGGTGGAGTCTGATCTTGACGGTGCTTCTCGCGCGGTGCCGGTTCTGGTTTTTCTTCGGGCTGTTGACGCGCAGATTTTTCTGAAATGCGGTCTGCGGGCGATTTGGACCCCAAGAGCTTACTTTCGGCGGCGGCTGTGTCGATCGGCGCTGGTTGCGATCGTTTTGAAGACGACTCCATATCGACAGCCGTGCCATGCGACGATTTCGAGCTCTCTTTTCCCTCGCGCGGTGCCGGTTCTGGTTTTTCTACGGGATGTTCGGGCGCAGAGTTTTCCGAAATGCCGCCTGCGGACGATTTGGACACCACTTGCCTACTTTCGGTGGCGGTAGTTAGTTGCGTTTGTTTTGAAGACGACGCGATATCGACTACTGCGGACTGCAGTGATTTCGAGTTTTCCGATACCGTTTTCGAGTGTCGCTGAATCGCGGTTTCGACAGCTGGTTCCTTCGATGATTTCGAGCCTTCTGACGCAGTTTTATCGTGTCGGTGACTTAAGGCGGAACTTCCATGGCTTTCCTGTGATCGATCTGAGGTTTTCGATTGCCGCGATTTGGGTGTAGGAGTGGCCATCGTCGGCTGCAATCAGCTCACCTGCAAAATATTCCTGTAGTTAGAAAAATGAACGAACGGTGGCGCTGATTGCGATGATGACGATGGGACTTCTTATTTCTAAGCGAGGCTGCGATTTTCTGAAATAGTTCAGCACACGGAGGACCTTTTTTTCCTCCGTGGTTCAGCATGTGATTCAGAAACATGGCGGCCATGACGTATTTGTTGTTGTGGGTTCCTGAAGCGGCAAGATTGAACTTCTATGCATAATAGGAAAGTAAGAATGTGATCTTGAGTAATCTTAAGCTAACTGCAGCAGCACTTTGTACGCCCATTATCATCTCACGGTGATGCTAAAAAGTATAAGAAAGCTCTAACGGATGACAAAAACCAAATAAAGGATGCCCTTAAGAACATTCCCGTCCCACCCATTTTGTCCCACAGCTGTGCTTCAAACTGTAAAATAAATTAAACAATCGCAATTGAACTTAGACACCGCTGTAGTCTAAAGATCGGACAGTGAACTTTTGTGTTATTTTTTGTACAGAATCGCTGATAATGTGAATGCAACAGAAGTGAAGTACACGATTACTGCTCTCTCTCTCCTTGCATATCAGAGAAAAGATAGCATTTATAAGAGGCAGCTGCAGCATCAGAATAAGTGCCCATGCGCCCAACTTTCATCCTTTCTTTGTTGTGTTATCAGCTCCATTCTTTACACCTTCTCTTACTAAAACTGTACATTTGGATGGAAGCTAGAGTTTATGAGAGTTTATGCAGTTAAAAGATAAAAAGAAAACAGACATGCCTCTGCGAGTTTTTTTTTTTTAATTTCTTCTATAAATCTATGAACTCGTATACAAATCAAAAGCAGTCAGTTAGGGACAATGTGCAACGGGCAGTGTAAAACTAAATTGCTTGCTTACCACTTCAGTGATTGATGAATTTATGAAACCTTTATTACTCCTAGCAGAGGAAAACTGATTCATGAGTGTCAAACTTTCTGCTGTAATCTGTCAATGTTGTGCAGAATATTTTTGACTGCCACAAGCCTGGTACATTTACAAATATTCGATTGGACAAATGACTATGATGGAAAAAGTTAGATCAAGGAAGCTTTCTTTATATAGATATAAATATATACATGGTGTATGAAACACTCATAGTTCATTATGCATATGAAGTACCATTAGAAGAGGGTTGTGCTCTTCTTGCTCTTACACATTCACATCAGCAGCATTGCAGTAAATGCTATTTCTCTACAGTTACTGGCAGTTTTGATCAAAATTACATTCTCTTCTTTTTTTTTTTTGTGCACAATGAAATGTTTGTCGCAAGTTAGTGTCCTCAAAATACCTATGCAAAAGAAAAAAGTATGTAAATTGTGTATTTCTCTCAATTTCCCCTATTTTCTGGAATGTGTGAAACTGTAACATGCTAGAAGTATCGGAGGCTTTTTAGCAGCAGAATTGCATTCTTTATGACAAACCTGTGTATTCATAAGTTGGCCTGTCCAATTGCAAAGTGTGTGGATTCTGGCAATGGTGATACAAAACTTCATCTACCTTGACTCTTTCGAAGACTCAATAGACCATTTTTATAATTCACAAGTGCGCGTCCCCGCACTTGCGTATTCGCCCTACCAATGGAGACAACTGTCATGCTTCAAGTGGAGACGAGTTCCTAGTTGCACATGTTGGGGCTAGTTTATCATGGGTGTCTATGTAAAGAGAGCAAAGTCTACATTTATCGCATCATAGTGCAAACAAACTGCGCTTGAATACATTATTTTCCCTAGATGGCTAGCTGCTATTAGTCGGGCAAACTGCATAGCAGGAAAGCTAGCTTTAGAATTATGAAAAATGTTCATTGTGAGCAAGTATTGAAATTGGCAAACAGTTATGACTTAATTTAATTAAGATTTCTGTTTTTGTCAGACATGTTGACATCGGTAATAGAGAGCAAAATTTTCTGATGTCTTGAGACAGGGACTTTGATGATGTTAATCTTCTCATTAATTGATTGATTTGTGGGGTTTAACGTCCCAAAACCACCATATGATTATGAGAGACGTCGTAGTGGAGGGCTCCGGAAATTTCGACCACCTGGGGTTCTTTAACGTGCAATCTTCTCATTGAACACATGATTAGCAGTGCTATCTTTGTTTCTTGTTACTACATGTGCATGTGAAAAATTTGTAATATTGCAATTCTCCATAATGGTCTCATGATACAGATACCTCCAATATGCCAGAAGCATGACTAATTCATAAACTCAAGCGTTATGGTAAAATCCTTGGACGACTGTGATGCTTGTCTATATTGTTTTTCTTGTACAGTTTAGAGCATATTGATGTTTGTCAAACACATAAAATAAATATATTCAAATGAATGCTGTCACAGCCCGACTAAATGTAATATCTGTCATGAGTGTGCAGTGTGCCTTCACAGTTGCATGGCTCTTTCCACTAGTCGCACGAGTTTTTTGCAGTAGGGAAGATGTGACCGAAAATTGTTGTAAAAAGTTTTTCATTTCTAATTTTTCTACCGATTCCGTGCAGGGTGCACACATCATCGTGTTTCCAGAAGATGGCATCCTCTATCGATTGAAAGATAGGGAAGAAGTGGCCAAGTTTGCCGAGGACGTTCCAGGCATTAACACGACGATATGCGGGTCTCAGAACATGTCCATTCTTTCCAACTTGAGCTGCATGGCACAAAATAACAGTATATACCTGGTGGCCAACCTCATCGATAGAAAGCCCTGCAACGAGAGTGACCACAGCTGTCCCCGCGACAAGGTCAAATATTTCAACACCAACGTGGCCTTCGACCGCAACGGAACACTCGTCGCCAGGTTAGTCTAGCCACGCACCTCTAGTGGGGATTGCTGCCTGCTCTTGGAGACATGCTCCCGTAGGCTTTTTTTTTTTTTTTGATAACATCAAGTTAAGACCTGTCTGAAGCTACACATTGGCTAATTTGCTAAGCACTGCCTAATTTGCTAATCACTGCCATATTACCATTTTTAATTGCTGGCTTTGAAACGAAGAAAGGGGTGGAGGGTGTGAACGCATTGACATTGAAATCAATGAGGTAAAATTACTGTGAATCACTGCTGAGCGTCCTTTGTAGGGTTATGTGCAGCTGTTGTGTCATGCAATCCACTTTTCTTGCACGTCATGCAATCCACTTTACGTCATGCAATCCACTTTTGTGTGTTCTGTGCGACTGATTGAGCGTGATATGGCATAGATTATAACATTGTTCAGGCTCAGGCCAACCTGAAAGTCCTGGCCGGGTACACGTCAACTCTCGGGCCCAAGCTGAGTGCAAGCCTGAGCTGCACAATGTTTTTTGAACGCATGCGGACATTCTGTGTAGATCCATTGCATTGCTTGCTGAGCTGAAGTGGAACAGGTTTAAAAACGTCTGGTGATAGCAATCTCAGAAAGCTAAACAAGGGAATGTCGAAGTCTCACATTTTTTTTTCCTTTATAGAGATGTATTGGAATGTCAGTGTTATTGCTCTTGGTACAGTTGTTCTATTGACATTATCAACTACAATCATTCACAAGAGGTTTCACCTATGTCAATCTTCTTTATCTTTTTCTACTGGCGGCATAGCCGGAGGGTGTCACTGGGCCTGTGCCCCTAAAAGAATTTTTGCATAGTGTGCGAAATGACCATTACATGGCGTGCACGCCATCTAATGTGATGTGTTCTGGCATGCTCTTTCTCGGGAGAGATGCACTCATCCAACACTGTGGGCTTTGGGGAACAGTTGTTTGAACAGAGCACTGATAGATTTTTATTTTAGTATTGTATAAGCATGGTGGCTGTTCACGTGATAACACGTACATTTTTATTACTGAGCTTGTCGTTCTATGTTTCACAGTCCCGACTTTTCTTTTTTTTTTTTCTGAATGAAATAGATATCGTGTTGTCACTGAAAAAAAAAAAGAAAGAAAGGAAGGCATATTATGAAATATATTCAGATATGAGAAAAAGAGAGGATCACTGGTTGAAGAAGCAGCTTAAGTTTATAATGTATTATATGTGCCCATGGTAACTAAGGATGTAACAACATAGTAGGATGAGCACAGAAGGACACCTGCATCTTTTGTACAATATGCCTGCTAGACAAAATTCCTTAGTGAAATGCCGAATGATTGAGCAAGCTCATCTTGTCCTACAAGGATACCTAGTGAATATTTGCCCATGCCTGACATTTGGTGCCTCATTTGTTATTGCAGTGCTGTGAACCAAACTACACTCAATCGTTAGCATTTGTGTATACCAGTGTTGTTATTTTTTGCACCTCCTTTGTCGGAGTGGAGTTTCATACTGGGCGATGAAATTTAAGTAAATGTGAGAGCATTGAGGGGAGTGTGAATAGAGTCGAGCTTATTAAAACATTTCAGCGAAAATCGGTGGGAAAACACTGGCCTCGCAAAGAGAACACAATGCAGAGAATAGGTGTAACAGGTGCAGTACTCAAGAAGGTCAAAGGTGCATTAGACTTTCAGTAAATGGAAATCATTTAAATTTAATTGCTGTCTAATTGGTCTACCTTTAATATGACTGCTTCCATAGTTGAACGTTGTACCTTCTTTATTCTCTCAGTAAATGGCACTCCTGTAAAGCAAAGCATGTTTTTCTGGCCACCTTCAAATTCTGTTTGAATCAAAGTCCACTGTAGTTCGTTCTGTAGAGAACCTAGGTGAACCAACTCGCAAATGCTGCGAGAAGCATGCAGTTGCTTAAAACTGTTAACTATAGACCGTTACCAAAACCTTTATTATGCCAGTAGATTTAATAAGCAGGACACCGATTACCTAGTAGTAGCATGCTGGTGCTAGTCGTGGTGTATTTTTACAGCTCTGTCCACTGAACTTACATTATTTACTTCTTTTTTTTTTCTTTTTGCCTAAAAAAGTGTCATCATGGCAGTCAATTGGCATCCAAAGGGCTGCCTATTTATGCGAACCAAAAGCACTGTTTGTGTAACCTTGAACATGCTGCTGCTTTCTTCACAACTCCTCGTATCCTTTCTGCCTCCAGGTACCACAAGAACCACTTGTTTATCGAACCCTTCATGAACCCTGCTGACCCGTACGAGTTTGCTGTCTTCAACACAGATTTCGATGCCCGTGTGGGCCTTTTCATTTGTTTCGACGTCCTCTTTGCCGAGTCATCCCTGCTTGTTAGAGAAGCACAATGTCACCCTGGGCGTCATGAGCAGCTGGTGGTTCGACGAGCTTCCTGGCTGGTACTCGGTTGGAGTACAGCAAGCCTGGTCCATACACAACGGAATTCCTCTGCTGGCATCAGGAATTCAGCGTCCTGAATGTAAGCATTTACTGAAGTGGAAGAATGTATGCATGTTATTTTTGATCAGCTGTAGCAGTTTGTGAGACAGGCAACACTGATCAGCAAGTTGGGAGTAACAGAAAAAAAAATAATCGGGTGTGTGCGTTCTTTTGGGTCTTGAACACACCTGTACGAAGTTAACACTAGTGCATTATGTGAAGATGTCTAATGTGTGAACAGCACTAATGCTGAACTTTACTAATTGACACCATTGTTATCATCAGCTTTGGTGTTGCAAGGTGTGATTGGCTCAAGGCGTATTATCTATGCTTTAAAGAAACACACCACTCAATTGTATTCTTTTCGTGTGCGACGGTTTTCCTGCCATCAGGAACTGCTGTGTCGTGAGCAGTACCACGATACAGCATCTCATCTCATCCCAATATAGAAGAAATGTGCTTGTACAGGCATTTTAGGACTTCCCTGCTGTTATGATACACAGTCACAACTGAGCACGGGCTCACCAGGTGTTACCTGATCCAAGATCTCTACAAGCTGTGCATACTTCAGCTGGAAATGACTCCTTATAAGCACTTTGTTTCACTTTTGCATTGTCAAGTTCTTGTCATCGCCATAGACAGATATGGGGATGTACTGCTTTCATTTACAGGCGATTTCTCTTTGTTCAGGAAAGTTCCTCATGCTTATTTGTACATTCTTGATGTAACAATATTTGAGAATGACAAATTATTTTAATCGATTCTCTGATGTAAATAAATTGAAATTTTTTATCAGTTAAGCTCATTATAATGAAATTGAAAGAGTCTGTTAATAGTTTGTTCTACCCGTAATTGCATTATAACCACAGTGGTTATTTATTGCAGATACTATTGTTCCCTGCACTAGCCCAAAACAAATAGCAGGTGAAGTAGCATTTCGCTGCGCAGCGACACAGTGCCAAATAAATGCATTGTGGAAATAGAAAAGTTGCGCACATCATTTATTGCAGCTCGAAGTATATAACTCTTATTTCAGACAGACTTAAGTGTGAATAAATTCGTATTCGGACATTGATGCATCTTCCTGGTGTAAATAATGGCTCGCTCAGCTACAACTGCTATGCTCACGCAATCTTCACCGCCCTCATGAAGCGAGTTTTGAACTGCTAAATACAGTTCTCGCATTGCACTCTGTCTGGAATCCTCGTTGCGCACTGCTGTGACATTGACTGTTCCCTAATGAGATTTGTTCTTTAAATCCTCTAATGGGCAACTTTTACCACGTATATCTTGAGAGGGTTACTGAAAAAAAATGTCACCGAATAAAGCTTCACTTACACTAATTCCCCCAGGAAAATAGATATGTATGAATTAAACCAAGTTTTCTTCTTTGTTCTTTAATGAAGTGTCGCTCTGAATTTTTTTATGCAGGGGCTCCCTAGGAAGTGGCATATACGCTGGACGCCGTGGTCCCCTCAACTACACTTACAGCCCAGATGGGGAGAGCAAGCTACTGCTGGCCGACCTGTCTAGGACCACATCACTGAATCCTAGGTGCCCTACTCATGTTTGTTTACATGCACTTGTTGTACTTGGGAAGGCCGAAACCACAACAGCACTGTAATATCACGCTAATATGCACAGCATTGTGCTGCATATTGTAAAAGTTTCTCTACCTCACTTGGCCAAAGATTAGCTATGTCTAGACAAAGTGTCTAGACAAAAACTTAGCTGCTCATCCTCTGCACCTCGATATGCTTTTAAATGGCATGGCTGGTGTTACTGCAATGAATATCAACTTTTGGAGCACTGTCCCAGTCCTATTTTCACAGTAAAAGCTTATGAAAAATTGTCATGGTGTAGATTTTCGAGTATGTGTGTGTGTGGTACTGAGTAGATTTTGGATTTTGGCCAAGTTGTCGCAGAGTTATGCTGGGTCTCAAGAAACTTGGTTACCCCTACTGTCTATCGTCATTTATTAAATACTAAGGAAAAAAAGAAACTAAAGTCACCAAAAGCCTTTGTACCTGCCCAACAGGTGTGTTCCTTAATGAAACTGCTTTTCCTAAGGCATAGACTACATGTCAGATTGAATAAAAAAGTACTAGTATTAAGAAAGTGCACTGTGTATCACAGTTGTCTAGAGTGGCCAGTAAGGTACGTCATTCTCTGTTTTTCTGAAAAAATATGCGGATGATGCCACAATCATACCAAACATGATTATCATAGCACATGCTAGATATTTGTGCTATTTCAGCACACGGTTGTTGCTTACGCGAGGTAATAACTGCAGGTGGCACCCACATCCACAGCCAAGAGCTTGACCGCTCTATACAAGTGTGACTGTTCATGTCACTTTTCTAACTATGAAAAAAAAAAAAAAACTAGCGAGAAGTAATAATAATCATGATGGCTGATGAAAGTCGTGTTGCCTCGTTGGACATACTGCCGCAACATCTTGCATGCATTCAAACAAAAACGTTGATGCAGTTTGTGTGTGGCAGTGAAAAATTGCAGAATCGTGTGGCACAAATTTTTCTGTGCATTGACGAGGAAAGAAAGTCATTTTACATTTCTCACAGATACAGACAGTGTCAGTTCCTCCATGTGCAGTAGCCTACAGCTCGAGGAATCTTTCTGAACAAATGCGTCCGAAGTATAGATAATCATTGCGGTGGCTTCATATTTGGCAGGGAAGTGTGATGCCATATTTTGGCATCTCAATGGTGTGGGTGCTCTGCATTAAACCTCGGCTACAGAAACATGCACATTTTATGGGGACGCTGTCTCCTCACAAAAGTGTACTGCAGATGCACAACCACACTGAGGATCACTAGGCAGTGGCTGAGGATCGCAGACCCACACACATGTGCTAAGGTGTATGTAGGTAGTCATTCTTTACGATTTGTTGCCACATGGTGAGCAAGCACGATACCGTTAGAATCATTGACCAATAACAACTGTCTGGGAAACAAACAGGAGTTTACCTCTGAGATATGCTGCACTCTCGGGCCTGTGCTTGCTACACTCAGTGTACATGATGTTTTGCAATCCTTCTTTTATTCATTTAAGTCTTCTCTTTCTGCAATCTCCAGTAACTAGCAGCAACTTCTTAAAATCCGCAATGTGTGGCATTGAGAGCTTGAGGTGGAGCCAGCTGTATGTCTTTCACTTGCACACCATTCATAGAGTGCACCAAACTGCCTACTGCTGTCAGGGAAATGGGCCTGTTTGTTTCTTTGTTTTCTTTTTGTTTGTTTTTTAGCGCAGCCTGCCGGCCTAGTTTGAGTGCAAATTCTCTATTCATATCTTCCTTGACATTAATTGTACCAAGCTGAAAGCAAGAGAAAAATAATAAGGGCAATTTTCTTGTTACCGTATATTGCCGATTATAAGTTGGCTCTGATTACAAGTTGACCCCCCAACTTGCAACCTCTTCTATGGAAAAAAAAAAAAAAAAAAGACTCCGAACACAGTCTCATGCACAAGTAAATCTTTCCGAAGAGGAGGTGGTACAAAGAAAGATTTATCGTCGCTTGAGAGAAAGATGCTGCAGCCACGATGATTACCATCGTGTGAGCCACTGCTGCTGCTCGCTGCTTAGATGCCGCACCTGGAAAACGCCGTGTGGACCATGTCAGTTGGCAGTCCATACCAGGCATCATTAACCCATTGCGCCACTTCACTCGGAGCTCGATTTGAACTCATTTAGCAGAATGCACATACCCTTTGCGACAGTATGTGCTTTTGCTTCTCTGGTTGTGAACCCAATCTCGAACCACCTCCTCAACAACAGGGTATCATCCAGACTTCGGTCTGCGAAAGAATCGGCATGTTGCAGCGCACACGAAAATCTTGGATCTTTGTGTTCTGCATTCCCTCATGCACTTTTCCAACACGTTCAACTTCCGCTCAACTTTACTTTCTGACTCTGCATAGATGGATCGCTTGCCGCTTTAAAGAAGCACTGTACTGTTGCTCGTGTAGCGGTGGCATCTTGGCGTTTGTTGAGCAGCTTCGCAAATCGCGCACACCTCTGTTCCCTAGCAAACGAACGAAATGCATAAATGGTAGAAATGGTGAACAGGTGTAAGCACAAAAAGACGTGAAGGCGTTTGTGCATGCGTGGGGTGCATGTGACTGGTCATGTGGTTTAGTTCCCCGCGAAGTCCTACACGGCGCTGCCAGCTTTTCCATAGAACGCCCATGGTGCTTCGCGAGAAATCTGAATTTTTGAATTGCCTAATCAGCAAACACTGACATGCATTTCTCGCTCTCCACTAATGTGAGAAACGCATGTCACGTCTTTCGCGAACGATAAACGTCACATTTTTTTGCTAGCGAGAGATCCTTGTGAAGTTTTTTGCGACAGGTAGTGTCGCATTGTTAGCGAGCGATAAATGCATGTCGCTGTTTTTTTGCGAGCCAAGTGCACATTCATGCCCATAGTGCGGCGAGTGCCGGTGTTGTTTCCAATCTCGCCCGACAGACACGCAGATGTGGTGGTGCTACCATTGAAACTGTGACGCCACTAATGACGAGTCATTAAAAAATGCTGTATCTCCGACTCACTGTTGTTGACACTTCTCCTCTAGCCATCATAGCTATACCGTAGTTTCACGATCGTTGCGACAGATTGTAATTATGTCCGGCTCTGGAAGTGGCGTGCACGCGTTGGGAGATAGCAGTTTCCGCGACTCCATTGCCTCTGTGGCTGATGTTATCGTCGTGTCGAATAGCAGTGAACTCGAGCACGACGACCGTTCATTGGGCCCCTCAGAAAAGTCGACATTATGATTACAAGTCGACTTAGGATTCGGCGTATAGGTCAACTCCGACCCTCGAACTTTAGAAGGCCATTTTATGAAAAATACATAGGACTTATAATCGCCAATATACAATATTTTTGTTTACGAGGCTTTTGTTACGGTATTTCAGAACCTAGGTGGCATTTTTTTAAGCATTCACTTAGCAACACCTTCTTTTTATTAGCAACCTAAACAAAGGATTGCTTAATGTTCATAAACGACATTGTAACAGAGAAGGGCACCTTGGTGCAGGTACCCTGGTGACGAGCTTCATCCTAAGAAGCGTTTGCTGATGCAAGGGGACGTGAGCGACCATGCCGCGCAGCTGCTTGGGCGACCCAAGGGTGACAGCCGCGTTTGCCACTGGAGACTTTTGTTGCTCACTCTCGTACGAGACTCGAGAACTGAATGACAACTTTGTGCTGCTTGCCAGAAATGGCCTGCGTAATATCGGCACTTACATGCAGCTTGGCGTTCAGGTGAGACAATGGCATTGCCCTGTTGAGCAGCCTGTTGCACTCGCTCAGTAGCTGCAGTGTTATGCTGGCTGAGTGTGAAGTTGCCAGCTTTAGTTAGAGCCATGGCAGGGTGTTGTAGATTCGTGATAGCACGAACATATTGCTAATAAACCACTCAGTCACTTGTGTTCACATGTAACGCAGGTCATTCCTGTTATATTGACTGAAAGCTTACTAATAAATTCCACTTTTATTTTGTTTTTTTTGTGCGAAACCCAATGTAATGATTTTCGTAGCACCATAAGCGATCTTTGGCTTAACACTAAAGCAACCTTAATTTTAAAGGCTGAAGTTCTGGGGTGTAATGTGTATCAGCTCCCATTGGACAACTTCACTGCCATCTTTTCCTTTTCTCTGCTCAATGTGCATATTGCCGCCCTGCCTATGGAACTAGTATCAAAACCAATCTCTTTGTCCTGGGTCCCTTGCGTCTTTTTAGGCTTCTCCCATGTAGTTTCATCTACATATTTCGTTGGTTTTGAGCCTTGGAAAACGTAAAAGGAATGAAATTTCATGTCGTCCTGGATGAGGGAAATTCAAAGCTACAGGAACTTGGCATTTTGTAGATGAAGTTTTACACCTGAAAAAGCGTGCCTCACGTAACAGCTAAGCAACATTAATTGTAGCATGTTTTTTTAGGATTATAGCTAATAGTTATGAGGCAATAAATCTGCATTTATTATTAACCACGTCTTGTGTACTCTGAAAGTGCTATTCTCTACAGCGGTCTTCACTGGGCTGGCAATAAGTGTTATTTCGCTTGAAAAATTGTCCGAGAAGGTTATTCTATGACCTTTAATGTATCTTAAGTATAATTCGCTTGAAGTAAAGAATTTTTCCAAATCTCAAATCTGCTCATTAGCATCTCTGAGCAGAGTGCTGGGAGATGAAAATGGTGTCAGAGTCAACTAATATTTATTTAAAGGTTCACTAGAGTGAACCTTTATATAAATATTGCATCAATAAATCTGTTTTATAGTGACAAATTTTACTCTGAGAACTCTAACATAGCTAATTTCACCATGAAGATTTATTAACAGAGGAAAAAACGTAGGTCAAAGTTAATTTTTAGATTTCTCTTCGAACTCTCCTGGCTTGGAGTCACAAACTTCAAAGTGTATTTTTTATATTTTGGCAACATTGGTTCAGGGATATTTTCTCAAACTTGTTATGTTAAATCTACTGACCCCCTCAGAGGATAATGTGCTTCATTTTTACATTTTAAGAAGTATGTAGGACCTAGTAGGCTATCAACATCTCTGATGTCACAGAATTTGATGCGGTATTGCCAAAGTGCCGTCACCTCCCTCATTTTCTTTTTGCTTTCTCACATTGTTTTCTCACTTACCAAACATCTCGTAGCAAGTGTGGCGAGTTGCAAAACAGTAATTTACCCTCTTTGAAAGAAATTAACTTTTCTTAGTATGCAGGGAATGTTTTAGAAAGAAGATAGAGCAGTGTTGTCAGAGTGTAAGTTGTCAATTAAAGAATGGAATAAGGTGGTCTGGTGCATGCGCTATCATTTGTCTTTTCTTCTGTGTGTGATCATCTCGCCCTCTTGACTGTATATACATTCCCGCAATCTGTGCAATAAAATTGGCTGTAAGTGTGCGCTCTGTCCTATCTCACTGCTCTATCTTCTTTCTCAAGCAGTTCTCTGCGCACTAAGAAAAGTAACTTTCTTTCAAAATGCAATACCAACCAGCCAAAGTAGCCACTCTTTTGCAGTAATTTACCCATATGAGAAAATTGTTTTCTCTGGTGTCCCCGTAAATAGTAAATGTGTATTCCATGCAGAAGAGCTTACAGCAGTTTGCTATAGACATTCTGTACAGACAACTGTATTGAAACTCATGTGAGCATGGCCGCCTTGTGGTTCTTATGATAACACTTGCACATTGATAAACCCATGCAGCAATGCATCCTCGCTGTCTGCAAATCCGATAACTACACGGTCTGCAAGAACTTCACGACTCGCTCGACCACAAAGTTCACCAAGCTGCAATTGACGGCTCAGTTTGCGACAAATGCCGTGTTCCCCGTGGTGGCTTCGGATGAGCTAGCCCTAACACCCAAGGACAAGTGGCAGTTTGAGACGACCTCAACCAACGCAAGCACCCTGACTCTCAAAGAAAATGGCAAGGACGAGGATATTCTGCACATCATGCTGTATGCCCGTTTGTACAATGCTGACAGGTTTACCAAATGATTTGACCGACATGGTCACAGTAGCCACACATTCGGCACTCATGACCGCCAGCGTCGTCTATGTGTATGATTGTTTGTTTTTTAACAGGAGGGCACTTTCACTGATTTGCGTTAGCACTTTGGTTGTTGTTTGCCTATCAAGTTACATGTGTTTTTGTTATTTCAAACCAGTGTCCTTCTTTTTGGCTTTTGTTTCTCTGAGGCTTTATTGATTTCGAACGTCAATTACGTTACTGTTTTGACAATGATCAAACACGTGCCTGGAGTATGCACTGCACATGCAGTTTACACCATTACAAGCCCCCCTTTTTTTTTATAAGGCACACCAATTGTATCAGTGAGCACCCGAGTCTTGGACATTACAAGGTGAAAAACAAGAATGAGAAGGAAGGGGTCAAATGTTGCTGCCGACCGTGTTGCAGTTTTCACAGGTCTAGCTATTTTCCTTACTCCTACTTATTGAAAAGATATCGCGCGGAATTCGATATTGCTAAAGCCATTGCCATAGTTACGTGGAGGTCTTAGTATCACTGAGAAAGTTGTCATTAAAGCTTTATTTGCAAGTCTCAGATTTTAGCTTACTATTTGCAGTGTATATTTAATGCTCACGGGGGATCCTGCGGGTAAATGCATGTGTGGTGTGAAAGCACTGTCGAATGCTCATGGCGGTTTTATTTAAAGTATGTTCTAGCACTATTGGCTCACTTTGTTGTCCAGAGTGTGTCATAGATCACATTTCACTGTTTTCGAGCAAGATATATATTTTAATTCTGGAGTATGTTACAGTGTGCATTCGTTAAACAAAATGTTGCCTGCACCTGCTTAATTTAGTAGTGCAGGCTGACTTAAATTGCCGAGAAAGGACAGTATACAGGGCATGTGAGAAGGCTTTTATTTTATGCACCATGCGAAGAAGGTATGCCACATCAATTAGTACAATCTAATATAATGGATGTGTTCCAATACTCACTGCAGACAACTAAATAGACAGATAAATGGACAACGGGCCATCTAAAGTCCAATTACCAATTCTCGTGTAGCCGGCAAACTAGACAGCTCCGAGAAGACCGCATCATAGACAAATATGATGCAAGCTGCTTTGCTGTCCAAATAAGATGGCGGCACAGCGAATCACTCAGGATAGATCGGATCTCGCCAAAATGGTTGTATGCACACAAGCAGATGCTTCTCCAGATGCTCAATGTGAGTAATGTTTAATTTTTTTAGATGTCAACACGAAATAAGCCAGAAAATACAACAGTTTCTTTGTTTTTAGCTTTGTCTTCTCAACACAAGGTGGCGCCTTGTCGCGTAGAAGCCGTTCAGACGTGTTCCATTTCTTGGACAGCATGGGCTCGGTGCTGTTTTCTAAGCTATCTGCGTAGGCAGTCCATGTGCTGTCTAAGAATGGGAACACAGCCGTAATATTCAGGCTATGCAAGTTAAACTGTGATAAATGTACATCGATGAATAAACAGACTCCTATTAGTCATCAATGCTGGTCCTCTATACGTTTGTCAGAAGCAGTGCACAACTGAAAAATAATGGCATGAAGCTGAGTTCATTGATATGTCTGCATTTTCACATAATGTGCGTGTGCAAACGCACATCTTCACAAGGCATCGGGACCTATGCAAATGTGATAGAATGTGTGCCTTTTGGTCGTGCGGTTGTCAACTGTGTAATATTGTGCTGATTGAACAAACAATAAAGCTTGTTTGAATTTTAATAACTTCTGATTGATTCATATGTGGGGTTTAACGTCCCAAAACCACCATATGATTACGAGTGATGCCGTAGTGGAGGGCTCCTGGAAGTTTGGACCACCTGGGGTTCTTTAACGTACATCCAAATCTGAGCACACGGGCCCTACAACATTTCCGCCTCCATCGGAAATGCAGCCGCCGCAGCCAAAATTCGAACCCGCGACCTGCGGGCCAGCAGCCAAGTACCTTAGCCACTAGACCACCGCGGCGGGACATTTTAATAATTTCTGGTGAACATTCCCATACACATGACATTCTGGTTTCAGTCAATTGTGTCAGATTAGAAAGACATCATCGTCATATAGAAGGCTTAATGGTGTGCTAACCATGTTATAAAATAGGATAGTCTCATTGGAGAAGATGTGGAAAATTTGTTGCCCCTATATAGGACATTGAAACGCTCTATAAAAGATTGGTGAATGTTCGAGTGCCTCGAATATATGAACAAATATGTTAGTATTCGATTGCGCTTCAGCACAAATTTAAGTTATTCAGAATTCTGAATTATTCTAAATGAAGGTCTCCACAACCACATTGCCCGAAATTAGAAAAAAAACCTAGCACCAATGGAACAGTGGGGCTCGAATCGAGGTCCCCTGGGTGCCAGCCCAGTATTCTACCACTGAGCCACATCAGTGCTTGGAACTTGTTGGCAAACTTGTCCTAGGCAGGATTGACGTCAGGAAAGCAATCGCGTTAATGCGACTTATAAAGCGCTTTAAAACGGCGAAAGAGCAACCAGTCATCGCACAATGCGAATAATGTAACGAGTGGGCCGTCCAATGCTCTAACCCATTACAAAAGCTTGTTCTTGTTCTCCTAATAACTGTGGCGAATAACCACTTCAGCCATAATTCCCCATCGTTGTCAGCCACTGCATGAACAATTGGCACAATATTCCTTGCAAGGGTTTAGCGGATACCACGCTTCTCAGAAGAATGGCAAAAAATAGCATAACAAATGCCGGCCTGCTTCTCCAAAATTTTTATTATTAATGCTCTAGTGAATATCAAGCAAGTGTGCTTGCAGTAGTTACCCAATGAGCATTTTGAAAGGCTCTGAAAGGCCACTCTTCTAGCTTCCGCTGTGACTGTGCTGTGCCTTCCGCGGAGGGTTGGCATTTTTTTTTTTAAAGTTTGTTATACCGCCTTATATGTGCTCAGTGTAGCAAATTTAGAAATGTAACATATTTTAAGGCTCATAAGTTAGGCCCTATTACTATCAAAATCCTGCCGCTTTTCTCATTCGCTCCCACTTCAAAATGAAAAAAGTTACATTCGCATACACCTAGTTCCAATTATTAAAGATATTTTGCAAGTTAGTACAGCCTATGATGAAAATTCCCATTCTTATTTAAGCTGTGTGATATATTCAATTCAAGCTGTTCGATCCAAAACTATTCGATAAAGTCACTATGCGGTACGAGTTTTAAATTTATCATTCACCGGTCTCTACACATCATGAATGCAGAAACAAAACATTCTACATTAAGAATGAGCATTGCTATTAACATGGAAGCCTAATGTCTCGTTTCGTTTCATGAACGAAATAGTTTTTTTGGGGTGCCTCATTTTTTTCGTTAGAGACAACCAAATGAATCCAGCTGGTAATTAAGTCAGGGTAAGCACAGGGCTAGTAAACCTTTAGCTGTAAGTGTAGTAGATAATGATGAAGATTGAAATGAATTCAAATGAACGAAAAATCACTTTCGTCATCGGGATCTGCATCTACAACCTTCAAAGTGTGCGTCCGATGCTCTGCCTGCTTACAGCTCCGATGCTGGCTAACAATACCAGGGACTACACATTCAGAAACAGTCAACAAAGTGGACTTTCTTGAAGCTCCATCAGTAGACCGTTGGATGTGTAATTCAAGAGTTCTGGGCTCAGATCCCACCCACCAAAAAGCTGATTCTTTGCTCACTTTAATTTGTTCTAATTTATGTCATTATTTACTACACTACACTTAAAGACTATGGCACTCATGCTTTCCCTGGCCTAATCTGCCTGTTTTATTTTCCTGTGCTACCCTCCGCCATTTTGTAGGGTTTTGGTAGGGGGCGGGCACTAGTGGAAGGGCACATACGCTGTCGCATTGTGAAAAAGGCGGATTCTCTGTTGTAGTACTATTCCATCTCAAACAGTGGGGAGCCTATCATTCTTCACATTTGATTGCTTGCTCTCGCTTTCAAGGCTACTGCCTCTTTTTCTGCTGGTAACTGCGAAATTTATTGAGAGTCTATCGTAGAGTTGAACTGCGGGCAATATCTTAGTACGGTGCTCTGTTTCCAGAAGCGAGCGGCTGGTCGGGGAAATTCTTTTGATCTCCTCCAGCTGACTCTTCAAGATGGAAGAGTTACAGGGCTGGCTCTCGCTCCTCAGATGTTTTTGATATCTTGGAACTGCATGTAGCTATATTTTTCTAACAGGTGTGATGTCTGTGATGGTGTGACAGCTTATGTGACGACCCACAAACACCAGCTGGGCAGTTGTTGACGGCCATCAAATAACACTTAAGCAACAATGACTTGTGTGTGCTTTCACATCATTTAAGAAACAGAAACAGCAGTTGTCCACCCATTCTGCCCATCCCATAGCAGTATTACTCTCAGACACCTTTGCCAGCCTCCAGCATAAGAGGGTTATAATTTATTTGAGAACATATTTTTCAGTAGCAGCCTACTCATTCTAGTATGCTGTTTGGCTGTCGTAAATACTAAATGCTTCAAAGTGCCATTAAACAAGCTGGAATTAGGTGAGCACTATATAGCATACCGGGCACGTGAGAAGCCAAACATGACTGCACTTGCCACACAGAGGCACACAGAAGTGAAATGTTTATTTGAAGAAAATCGAGGAGCTGTGTAGATACCATTGTCTTCTACCTATTCTCGTCGGCCTTGAGTAACTGGTAAGCTCAGGACGAGGGAGGCAGTACTTCCCAGAGGCTAGCGAGTGTGAAACCTTCGGGCAGTTTTTCCACAGCAAGACCTAGCTCGGGGCTCAGCACCACCTCGCGGTCACGATCATGACCACCGTCTGCCAGGTAGGCCTGCAATGTTGCGTTACATGCATTCTTAGAAGACGGATTCATTCATTCATTTGCAACAAGACAAATATTGGGGGAGACCAGGGGAAAAAAGGCTGATCATTCAGCATGACGGGTGTCCCGGCCACCCCTACACATGTGTCAGCTCAAATGGTGATTAAAAACAGAAAAAATATGCACACACAATGTATAGCATAAGCTGATTTGCCATCGTGATGGCAAACCTGACCATGGAGTACATAGAAGAGAAAGCACTCAGCTCCTTCTCGCTGCGACCCAAGCTTTTTTCTGCGTTATATGGACGATTGCTTTTGAGTCATTAAGACGGCTGAAGCTGAAAACTTCAGACAACCCCTAAATTCCGAGCACCCAGCCAAAAAATTAACAACCGAGTGTGAAAGCGACCACTGCCTGCCCTATCTCGACATCCAGGTGGCAGGAAAGCACAACGGCCTGGAGTTCTCCGTTTATAGGAAGCCAACGCACACTGGCCGCTACCTTCAATTCGATTCCTCCCACTCCGCCTGCCACAAGGCCTCGGTTGTGACCACGCTACTCGGTAGAGCTAGGAACTTATGCTCTAATGAGACCGAGTGAAAGAAAGAGGAGGCCTGCGTAATTGCTCACCTCAGAAAAAACAGATACCCCAAAAACTTCATTCGAGCCGCCACCCGCCGCGCAGAGCAACAGAGGATACGAAAACCCCAATCAACCTTAATTGGCAGCCCCCCAAAACACGTACCGGTTCCATACGTTCAGGGAACCGGCGAGATGTTGGCGCGGATCTTCAGGAAGGAAGGGGTTCGCATCGCGCACGTGCCTTCGTGTACGCTGGGCCGCCTCCTCCCCCGCCCGAAAGACCGGCCAACAATGGACAGGAGCCCCGGTGTCGTTTACGAAATTCCGTGCGCCGAGTGCCCCTCGTCGTATATCGGCGAGACGAAAAACCTACCGGAACGACTGAAGCAACACGCCAACGATGTGCGGAAGTTCTACAAAGAGCGCAGCGCAGTCGCCGAACATGCTGAGACGTTGGATCACAAAATAAATTATGAAGCGATGGCCATCCTTGAAAGCGAGCCAAACTGGAGGAGAAGGTTGTTACTCAACTCGTGGCACATACAGAGGACAGCCCATAATATCAACCGCTCTCTCGGAACCTTTCCCCCAGTGTATTCACACGGACTGCGCTCCACGGCAAAATGAGAGAGAGAAAGAGAGGGGGTCATTAGCCACCCCGCGAGTGCTTTGAAGACGTGGCTGCTATGTAGCCTCCGCAGTCGCCCCTGAGGGAGGAACCAAGTCGGTTCCGAAACGTTGGGTTTCTTAGAAACTTTTGGTTGGAGTCTAAATCATCTCCCAGTTTCATACCCAACCAGACAGACTTCTGTCGAATAATTACATTCATTTTCCATCATGACTTACTTGCCAAGATACCTGGCCTCAGGGTCACACACTCAAATTACAGCTGTGGTGACCACATGACTTGAATCAGGGTGGTATGTGCTATTGAAAAAGTTCTTGTGGTAACAAAAATGATGCAGGCGCTTCTGCTTTGGTGTCTTTCATCATCTACAATGCAGCCTTGACTCAATGAATCTTATTGCAAAAGGAAAAGCAACTAAACCGAACAGTGTGCAGTTGGACAACAGTGTGCAAAGAAGTAACCTGCAATAATGATAAGGAGACTCACAGCAAAGGCGTCATAGTGAGTTCCGTCTGCACTGTTCACTTCGGGCTCATCTTGTATTTCGGGTCCCGTGTCTTGAGTCGTGGCTTCCTCGTCTGCTGTCTAGGTTTTCAGCAGAAACAAACTACAGTGAGATAATTTCTGCAAAGTTTGTTTGTGCATTGACGTAACATGACCTCATTTGTTATTTGGCACTAATCTAATACATAAGAGAAACAAGGATTTATTATCGTAATGATAAGTCACTAGTATTTGACAAAAAATGCAAGGGTAGTTCGGGTACACTTTTAAAGATGAAACATAAATAAGTGATAAATTGCAAGTAAATCTAGATAAAAGCTGTAGCAAAGGTTACAACGTAAATGAGCACTGCCTGCTTACTGTTACGAGACCCGCTGCCTTGTATATGGGTCGTAGCATTTACTGCTTTTTTTTTTTTTTGGCAGCAGTGATGTTGCTACTAGGTAAATTGAAAAAGTGACTGATAGATTCACAAAATATTGGGTCGGTTTTTACCACAGTGAAATTGAGAGAAACACACTAAGAATGAAGCAAAACAAATGACAGTGAGAACGCTAAAGACGCCCATTAATGGGTATGATTGGATACGGTTTGTACAAGGTGGCTTATCTGTTTGAATAGTTATCAAAAATGCCGATTGTGCTGCTCCTATGGAATTTGGAAATACAGGCTTAATCATTTTAATTGTTTGAATCTTTCATCTTCGCTTTTTAGAAGCCTTCAAATTGTAGGATGGCTTATGAAACATTGATGGTTGAACGTTTAAAGCAAGAGGGCTAATGCAGTTTTAAGAAACTGTCGGTAACAAGTGACTAAAGAGCATCGTTACATCACATTGGACATGTGGCTGTCATGCAATTTAATATGGATGCATGCACAGACCTGTTTCTGCATGAAGACGTCCACTCCCATGATTGGCTTGGTCTTGTGCACCTTCAGGAGGCTAGACAGTTCTTTGTAGATGTGCTGCAGTCGCTCCATAGGGTCCACTTTGAAACCAAGAACGTACCCGCCACTCTGCAATGAATACAACATTACATGGAGCTGACATTCGCAGCTGTTTAAGTGAGAGGCCCCATTTATGTGATTTTGGAGCAATTGCCAGATGCACATTTACAATTAGAGGGAAAGGGGATGAGTTAATAACTGTATGTGCTCAGAGTCGAAGTACACTTAAATAATTAAGGCGATTAACTTTAACATTTTTTTATTCTTTGCATCTCTTTTAGCTTCACACCGACGTCTAGAGATAGCTCTTTGCATCTATCACATGTCTGAAAACAATAAAAAAATGTTGTAAGTGAGCTCACTTGTGCTATTTGCCATCCAAAAAAAGCTTTCTAGGAAATCTGGAATTGCATGGTAAATTTTTGTAGTTTGTATAATATTTATGTATTTTAAAAGAGAAACAATATGAAGCAGCTATTGCTCCTCTAGTATTAATACTCAGGGGCAGTGCTGAGAATGCAGTCACCTTCTTCCCTTTGTCCTCTTTCCCTTACCCTAATAGTGCTTGCCCTATAGCTGGTTCTTTCTGGGGCGATTCAGCCCTCCTGAAGGACCTTTTCTTAATGCACCTGCCCCACTCCTATGTCATCGAATACACACCTACATCTAAGCGCACTCACCCTGTCCGTTGTCTCAATCACCAGTGCTGTGCCAAACTTCGATTCCCGCGTTTTTATGGCAGCCTAAAAAAATATGTGAAATGCTAGTTTGAGTAACTCTAGCACACATTGGCCACAATGGTTCTAAATGCATAAGTGTTCATCCTGCTTGGACAAATGTAAAATAAGGCATTAATATTCATTCTATGAAAGTTCTCAAAATACTAGGCAGAATATTTGTCTATGTGTTTCTTTAGCCTTCTAACCATGGAACTGGCAGAAGGTATCTTTAGGAAGCTGTCTTGAAGAAAGTAAAGATGTCTGCTCTATTTACGGTAAGAGTTAGCTTGCTAACTTTGTAATCCCAATGGCTCAAGTATTTCCTTGTAATGAAGCCATGAACATCACCTGAAACCAGAAGTGGGGCAACATAAGATGTCCTGTTGATATAAATTGTCTAGCCACTGAAAATAAAGCAGGAAATGCCGTAAGTAAATGTGGCTGCGTATATCATGCAATGAAAATAAATGCTGCTGGTGTCCTTGCCATAGCACAAAGTTACTCAAATAGGGCAAGTCTTTTGGTATCTGAAAAAAGCATTCCTGATGTCTTGCATCTGCATCTAATTTCACAGCAGTGTGCTATTGACCAGCCTCTTCCACAGTGCTGTGCAGAGTGGCACCTTGTCACTGTATTATCAAATCAAACGTATGTGTGTGAGAATGATTTTCCAAGAGCTGCGTACCTGAAAACCAAGCATTACAAGTGGCTGAAGATCAGTGCAGACGTTCAGCGATGCTTAAGTGCAACCAATACTATGAATCGAATAGCCGGCGAAAGCAACTTAAAGGCACTCTTTTGATATTATTGCCGGTTAAGTGTCTTTTTTGCATAGTGGTCGCTCCCATTTTTGTTGGGACATTGTATACGACACTAGGGTTCATCCACAAGTTGAGCCAGCCCCAGGAACCCTCGAAACTCAAGGTGCTGCTAAAATGGGACCCATTAGTCGTGATGTTGCACTTTCTCTATCCCCGTCAATTTGGAGCAGTAAGCATGCTTTTGCGCAGTGCGATGGAGCTAACTGTATACTACCACAAACCTGCATGCCTGCAGCAGTCATGCAAAAAAATCTTAGCGATGTGTCGAACAGCTCTCTAAGACATTCTAATTTCCAGAAAGATAAGCGAAAGTGTTGCTAATTCTGTACGTAGGGACATTTTTCGTGTCCTCTGTACTCCTCAGTAAAGATAAACAGTTGAAGTTTAGGGCTTGATCTTTTGCTTCACTCTCCTTTTTTGTCATGTGCTTGTTACCCTGTCGTGCTTTCATGTATTTTCTAGTTAACAAATTGCTTAGCAACAAATTTTACTGGGCTCACATATTTCTATATATTTGTACTGGACTTCCACTGTTACAAGAAATAACGCATGAACCAAGAATCGTTGAATGCCTGCTGTCATTTCGAATGAGGCATTGATTTTCATTATATTTCACTGTGCATGCTTGCTCACAGTGGAAGACAATTACCACTTGCAGGTAGGGCAAGCTGATGTTGAAAGACTCGTTCATGTTGGCGTGCCAGACGATGCGCACGTTAGTGATGTGCATTGTTCCCAGGTTGCCCTGGTCGCTGGACAGGTTCCACACTCCGTTCACCTGGCTGCACAGCTGCTCCATAGGTAGCAGTCGCAGTTGGCGATTGTGCAGCAGTGCGGCACGCAGGTGCAGGTCACGGTACAGCTTAGTGGCACTGTATGCCCTGTGCATGTCATTCCAAGGCTGTAAGTTTGAATCCCATCATTTTAAAAGGGTACGTGTTTTCTCATCTACTTTCATTCATTCCAGTTTACATCATAATTACTACACTACAGTTAAAAAACGAGAATTAATGTCTGCTATGCTTTTTCTGACCTAATTGTATGTTGGATTCATTTGGATTTGTGTGTAGTTTACTTTGCTATGTGCATTACTTTAATGTGATGAGGTTCTAGCAATCCTTACTACACAGCTTGGCCATATGCTTATCTCGATAAATACAAATTGCAGAAAGTCAAGATGGAAAAACAGATAGCAGGTTATAACAGTAGATGTTGTAGGAATATTCTATGCATAGTGCATATCTCGTATTACTTTGTCAAGATATAGAAAGGAGCAGCTGTGCTGAGGATCATTATGGCCAGAACACATCACGAAACAGACAATGCATGGTATGCTAAAAAAGAAAAAGACCCTGCTTTAAAATGTTCAGTGACCTAGTGCATGCAAAACAGTGAAGATAGTAACCTGCTATGTAGACATATATGTGCCAGTGTTATATATGACTCCAGTCAATATGACTACGTTTAATATCTGGCTTCTTACTTGAAAGTGTTGAGGACAGATGCAATGAGGCGTGGCTGCTCCATGGTCTGGCTCTGGTAAAGAGACAATTGGTAAAATAATCACTCTGTGTGAGTGTCATATGGTGCATAATAGATTGGCATATATTGAAGTTTAATTAGTTACCATGTTGGTAAATATGAATTCGTAACGGGTGCTGTTTGACTTGGTCATAATGTAGAGTGCTTCGGCGATTCCGCATAATTTCTGGAGAAAAAAAAAATGGAGCGAAATTTTAAAGCTGCTCATTGAATGCATGCCTGAACGGCATGACTGTGGAATAAATTGGTGAATTTAACTACCACTCACGGAATTAACAGTTCTCGTTGATATTCCCGTCACACAATTGAATCCAACAGCTGGCGAAAGAAGGAAATATAGTAAGCACGTCTACGCAGGCTCGCCATGCACTAATTTCATTTTCATTTTGCATTCAAATATCTTACACAGGTTTACTCTTGGCCTAGCGAGAGACTGCCAGATAATCCGCAAGTTTGTGACATACAATGTTCCTGCAGGATAACAAAGAGGGCTCAGTAATTAGGTGTAATTCAGCAATGGCACATGACATAGCTTCACCTTTATCTCCACTGTTTCCCTTGGTGTCTTCCACATTTGGGAGCCTGTCAATCTGTTCTTCTCCAGCACCGTATTGGAGGTCTCTGGAAAAATCAGCAGGTACAATCAGACTTCTGTTTTTCGCGTTTCTTTTGCGTGTGTGCACTGCACATAACTTTCAAAACAGAGGTTCACTCACTGGTTTGAGATATCGAATCTGATATCTCGATCTTGCCATAGTCCTTCAGATTCAGTCATGGCGTCCACACGCAGTTCAAGACCCGTAAGAAACGAAACCAAGCTGTCGCTAAGCGACAGCCGTCGCCATGGCAACGTTGTCGTTTCGATGGTGGCCTTGGCTTAGCTGGCGTTGGCTTGTTTGAGTGACGGGCTCACTTGTGAGCTGTTCTGTACATGAAGCCTAAAAAAGGTAATTATTAAGCATAAAAGTTATGTGTTGTTTAATATTATTAGCAACAAATAATAAACTATTTAAAGTATTTAGCTAGTGGTTATTTTGTTATCATCATCGCCGGTGTGCCACACTTGTTTGTTTTTTAATGTTTACATCAGACGCATCAGACGCGCCGATGAACGTAAACGAGTGATCAACGTTGGCAAGATCTGATGTGCCACAGGCTCTTAGATACATACTGTAAGTAAATCGTATGCATATTTGAGCAGTCTTAGTGTACTTAAGCTTACGTTGATCAATACTGACGCACCTAGTACATGAAAGTGCAGTAAATGCTACTGCTAGTGTCGGAAGCTGTGACCCCCCAAAGTACTTTTTTGCACATCGCAGAAAGATTTATGTTGGCTGAATCCACCGAAAGCTAGTGTACAACGTTTGTTTTGGTGAATGGAGGGGGTGGGGGTGGGGGGGCTTACGAGACTCAAGATGTGTCCGCTCTGCAGGGACGAGCTACGTCGATCACGGGGTGCTGTAAAAATGTTTGTGCCGCTTTCCGATTGCAGGAAAACCGAGCATGACATCAGACGACGAGTTGCGGTTGCAGAGAGGACTGAAATCCACAATCGAACCCAGGAACAGCGACCGTGGCCGAGATGTCGAGCGTGGGCGCGAGAAACGACACAGGTGAGCCGGCATCAAGCGTGTTACGTTTTCCAAGCTTTCGAATAGAAGCGACTTCCAACGTTCTTGCGGTCAGTGTTTGACGTTGATAGTTTACGGGCATTTCTCTCACTTTTGGGTGCAAGAAGCTTTACGATTTCTCTGAAATCATTTCAGGTCCATGTCACATAGATGTTCCAGTTGCGTGCGTGCGTGTGGTGGGCTTCACTGTTAGCGGGAACGTTTTCGTGTAGGGCATGTTTAGGTTTTGCTATCTCGCAAGAGCATGGCTTCCATGATTGCAGCCAACGCCTTGTAGTTGGCAGGCGGATTACTTTCGGCACATCGTGGTAGTGCACAGACATTGTTTCCACAGCCACTTGCAGTTTACACACAAACAAACAATTCAAGGGGCACACATTTGAGTGTTCTCTTTAACAGTTTACTGGGGCTGTACGTAGAGTTTTGCATATTCAAATACTTCTTGCGGTTGTTTCTCCAGGTCTAAAAGCAGGGAAAAAAGGAAAAGGTCACGGAGCCGAGAGAAAAGGTATGCTGTGCTCTTGAGTATTTCTTTTTAGGATTTTAATTTTTGAGGTAGTAAAAAGTTTTAGCACGATGAATGTGTGGCGTTGACACATCTCGAAATACCGTGCACACACGTGCGAGAAGCAGCAGTACTGGCTATGGCTTGTGAAACGATGCTTGGTTGAAGTGCGCAGAATAGCCAACTATATTTCATTCATCTGTTGGCAGAAACATGTCGACAGCTGCATAGTCGTCACAAAGGTACCGCAGTGCGTTATCTTTCTTAAAGGGAACAGTTGTGCAACTAAGCACAACTAGAAGCATGTTTCAGCTTCTGCAGTGGTCTAGAGGTTGTGGTCCTTGACTGTAAACTAAAAATACGCTGGCCAGTTCAGTACTGGCTGCGCTGGTCTCATTCCACTGGAGGTGTAATAATCTAGGCTCACATACTGTGCAATGTCAGTTCCTGTTAAATAGCCTCAGGTGGTTGAAATCATCCTGAGCCCACCATTACAATGTGCTTCGTAATCATATCATGGCTTTAACAAATCCTGAAATTATTATTATTGAAAGTTATTGATATTCTAGTATACACATGTGCTGGTACATCTCTGCTGTGCCAAAACTGTCTCATAACCACATAATCTATTTTTGAACTTATATGCAATTGAAAAAATCAGCATTCATTCCACGGTTACATATATGTAATTATTTGACTTAACCAGTATTTGGATAAGTCTTCAATTGTTGCGGCTTGTATTTGTTATAACACTAGCCTGAGTGACTTGCAGAGGCGACTGGAAAATAGTTAGTGGGAATGTTTATTGATTGCGATGTTTTTACATCATGGTGCTCAAAATAAGAGGAGTAACTTCACATGGAAAGACAGTTACACCTGCTGACTGTGGCAGCACACTTGTGTCACTGCACAGTGCTTTCATTTTGCAAACTGTTTACCTGGATGGTAATATCAGGCAAATAGTGACTTCTGTATCTGACCTTTCTTCACTACGAAATGCAGATCCCGATCACGTAGTAGAGAGAAAAAGAAGGATCGAGACAAGGACAAGGGACGTGACAGAGAAAGACGCAAGGACAAGGACCGAGGAAGAGATGAGGATGGCAAAGCCAATGAAGCATCTGGAAAAGAGAAGTGTGTAAACATGGTTTAGATATTAGATTATTTTTAGGATGACCTAACCCTTCAGAAACACTTTTTTTTTTTTGATGAGTTTGAGGGTAGGAAGTCCCAGTATCTCTTCACTTGTTGAGTGAAGAGCATGGGTACTTTACCAGGTGTAGTGAAGTATAATATTGTTGCCTGTGTACTGCTCTAAATGCAATATAGTAGATTCGAATTCAACAGAAATGGCCTAAATGGTATTGCTACCTAATCAAAACAATTGCCTCTTATATATTTGATTTTGTGCCTGAATATTGCTCTCCTGTTTTGCCTCCCAGGAAACGGAACTCCTAATAAAGGGATACTGAACAGATATTCGAAAAAAACTTACGAAAGATTAAAATTTGACTCTGAAGATACCAGTGTTATGATGAACATAGTTGCTTTCCTGTATTTTTGAACAGTTGGTTGTATTTTTGATGGATTGCCAGCGCGCAGCGGCTGCTCGAGAGCCCTGACGTCACAATCTCTGAGGCGCATGCAGGATGCACGCGTTCTTGTCCTCTTCTTCCTTTTCTCTACCTCTCCTTTCATTGAACTCTTTTCCTTCCACAAAAGAGGTGGTGCTTTGTACAGCCAGAAGCATTCTTTGCTGAGAACCGAAGTGGGAGACACGGGCAACGTCTTGCATTGTTGGCTTGCCCATTTCGGGCATGTGTCACGTCACCAAACATCACCGTCTCTAGTTCACAGCGCTGCCACTAGACGCGGCAGTTTGTGAAAACGCAATAAATTGATTATTTTCTGGTAGTTTCTGCATGCAATGAAGTTGTTTCTATCGATTTCAGTACCCAGTTTATCGATATGGTTGGAAATCTTGGCGGGCAAATATTTTGTTCAGTATCCCTTTAAACAAAACATGTTTTCCTCATCCCTTCATGTTTCACTTTATGAAAGTTAATAGTATGACCGGAAGCTGCATTGCTTTGCATCACCTTGTGCTACGAAAGATTGTTCAGAGCTAACATGACGAGGTTTGTGCTTTGCTCAGCACATAAAGTGAATCTGAATATCTGCTGGCGTTTTTGTCTTAGAGCAAAAAATTCAGTCAGTCAACCTTGTAGCGTGCTTCAGAGACAGTGGAACACCCTTCAGTGTGTTGTGGCAGTGAATCAAATAATAAGCACAGTTTGAAAAATTGCTTACGCAATAGTGGAATGCCTCGTGTCGAATAGATAGCAACAGTGCATTGTGTCTCGTTCGATTCTCGTTTGATTCAAACTCGAAGGAACCTCTGAATTTTTTTTTTTGAATTATCAGAAGTTCTCAGATAGATGACTCTGGGTGAGGACCACACATTATGATTAGGCATTGATTTTATCACATTAAGGGGAGACGCGGGTCGAAAAGTCACGGTTTTCCGGAAAATTTTCGCTTTTTTTTTTCCGGCTGTATTGGCATCCTTGGACTATAATCTATTACTTCTGAAAATATCAAGCTGAAATTCGCACGAGAAATTATCAAAAAATGCTTCCAAGTGGGCAGCGGTGACGCGAGAAATGCGCGAAAGTCGCAAAAAACGGCGAAGTTCGCGTCGTCCTGTCGCGAAAACGACGCGTTGGCCGCCATTTGCAATCGTGCACGCATGCTGCGAAGGCCGTATCCTTCATAATCCACTAGTAGCCAGTCTCGTGCCTTCACGCAGAATAAACAAGAAACGAGAAAAACAACGCGTACGTCACGCGTTTTTAATATCGCGGCACACTGCGCGGGGCCGCCATTGGACGGCGGTGCGCTCCACGCTCCTCCCCCTCCTATCTCTCCGGCAAAAGAGCGAAGCCTCGGACGTCGCGATCGAGTTTTTCTGCGTTTCTCTGCATTTTTGCGTCATGGCAAGCCCGAAGAAGTGCAGTTCAGATAATCGAAAGTTCAGAACTCGCCACAAGTATCGAGGGAAACGGCGTCGGACGCTTCGCAAAGCGACAGCGAACGACGATGTCGCCCCCGACCAACGCCCCGACGCTCCGACTTCGGATAGGCCTAACACCGTCACCGAACCCTGCGACAGTGGTTGTGAAATAGCCGCTGCCGTGGAATTCGTCAGTGCATCCCAAAGGAAGATTGGATTCTTCGAGAGTGAACGTAGACCGGTAGATGCTGCTACTGCGAACATGCTGCTTTGCGAAATCGATGCGCTGACGGCACTTGTGGCGGGTGCGCAATGCCCAACCTGCCGCGAACGGAAGCTCGGCGTGCGAGAGGCAGCTGGAAAGCGCAAAGGACTTTCGGCATTCCTCAAACTGTGCTGTTAAAATTCTGATTGCCCTGAATCTGCACTTTCGTTCACGCACACGTCGAGACGTACTGCTTCGGCCGGGAGCCAAGGAACGAGCGCTCGTTTTGACAGCGGCAGCTCGCGTGACAGCTTTGCTGTAAACGTGAAGGCAGTTCTGGCAGCACGCGCTATAGGCGCAGGCCACGACCAACTTTCACGATTTTGTGCGATTCTCGGTCTTCCGAGCCCGATGCATCACAAGACATTCAACGGAATTTGCAAGAAGCTCCATGGTGCGGCGATGACGGCAGTGAGCAAAAACTTGCACCAGGCACGAAACATCACGAAGGACGCAGTCGGCGGCAGAGATGTGCCAGTCATGTTTGATGGCACCTGGCAGAAAAGAGGTCATAAAAGCCACAATGGAGTGGGCACAGTCGTGTCCCTGGACACGGGGCTCTGCCTCGATTTTAAAGTTCTTTCGAACTACTGCCATGCTTGCAGTATACACAGGGACCTTGGGGAGGATGAAGAGATATGGCGAGCTTTTCATCTTCCAGTTTGCCAAAAAAACACTGACTGCTCATCCCATGCAATGGAACCTGCGGCAGCTGTCAATATATGGCAGAGGACCTTGTCTTATGAAACTCCACTGCGATTCACCAGCTTCCTAAGTGATGGTGACAGCAAGGCCTACACTGCAGTCTGCGAGGCAAATGTATACTGTGACACCCCCATTGACAAAGAAGAGTGCACGAACCACGTTGCAAAGCGCTTGGGAACTGCCCTACGGAAATTGGCAACGCCACTGCCACGAGGCGAAAAACTGAAAGATGCGACAATAATAAAACTACAAACATATTACAAGATTGCCATCACGAGCAACAAGGACAGTGTTCGAAATATGTACACTGCCATATGGGCATCGTATTTTCATTGCTGCTCCAGTGATGGTGCCAGTAGCCACAACTTTTGCCCCGCGGGACCAAATTCGTGGTGCAAGCACAAGCGTGCGGAAGCACTGGGGGAGCCTGCACCACGCCACACCCCACTGTTGACGAAGGCTCAAGGATTGGCAATTATGCCTATCTACAAGCGCCTTACAGAGGAGAAACTCCTTATTCGGTGCCTTCATGGCAAGACACAGAATGCAGCCGAATCGCTGAACAGCAAGATATGGCTGCTATGTCCAAAAACAAAGTTCGTCTCCAGAACAACTGTGGAGACAGCCACCGCTCTTGCTGTACTCTGGTACAACAAAGGCCACAGGGGCTTTGAAGAAGTGCTCGAAGGCATTGGAATTCTCCCCTCACAAGATCTGGCCACACATGGTGACCACTGTGACGTCATGCGCATCAGGAAGATGAACCTGAAGCAAACTGCAGAAGCGAGGGCACACCGTCGCAACACAGCGAAGAGAGCTCGTGTTGAGGACACTGGCCGCAAGAGCTGTGAAGGACCAAGCTATGGTGCAGGGGACTTCTAGACACTTGCAGTGCATTCAAGGCAAGGTACTTTTCATTGTGCCCCAATTTGATGCAAAAAGAATGATTTCCTAATAAATGCCAACTTTGCGAACTTTCAAACTTGTTTTTCTCATTTTCATTTTTTCTGACAGTTTCACGTTTTCCGGGCAGCCTTTTAGAAACTTATATTCATTGTATAGTAACGAAACTTGGCACACATATTCTTCAACACATGCAGAATGCAAATATCTACTCTAAATTGCAATGCCTACCAGCATTAGTTGGGAAAATATTAGCTTATTGTTTCAAGGGAGATTGAAAATAATAAGTCATTCAATACAATTTTTTTTTTCTTGGTTCCAATATTTCTGTGACATATCTATATAGATATTTGCACTTTTCAATCTACCAAGAGTCAAATAAGATCAGACACAGTGCTTTTACTGAAAGTTTAGTACATAAAAGAGTGCCCGCAAAAAATGTAACTTTTTGCTATTGTTTATGTCATAACTCAATAATTATAGCAGCTACACAAAAAATGATTGCATATTTGAAATCTGCATGAAAAACTATACTAATAACAAACTTTTCAAGTCTCTATTACTAGAAATATAAAAAAAAACTTTTTCGAGGAGCGTCTCCCCTTAAAAACTTTTTAATGTCTTTTTAAGCCCTAACCTCACGCAGTGAACAGAAAGCAGGGTTGTAATGTCGACAAGTTTGTTGGCCATTTACTGCTGATCAGACCTTTTAAAGAAATTGTAGTAAATTGCCAACTGCTTCATTGCTATAATTGTGTGCTTTCAGCATGAAGCTCTCTATGCCAGTTGAGAAGCATCACGGCTTACCATGCGTGTGCTTTGTTTCAAACATTTGTTTACTTGCAAAACCTTTTTTTTTTGAGGGCCTCAAGTGCTTATTTTTCATTTTTAGACTAGTAGGATTATATAAGCACACAAATATTGAAATGGTAGTGGGAAAGCAACTGATATTTTCTGGTATGGACTTGCAAAAAGTATGAATTAACTGAATGATGAAGTTTAAATTAAGAGGCTTTTAAATACATTGAAAGAATAGAGGGCCAACCAAAAAATTGAATTTTGTTTGAAATAACCGAAAGTTTGAATTATCGCAAGTCTACTGTATTTGTTTCATCCCACTTGACCATCTACAGTGCACACCTATCATATACATATCAGCTAATGCACCACTTTAAAAAATCTGAGGATCAATTCTCAGGGACAGCTAAGCTCCAGTATTTTATTTTGAGACGTCCTTCATGTGAGTGGTGCAGACAAGCTATCGTACAGGAGTTCTCATTTACATCAATTTGTGCTTTACTGTGCTGTTTCTCATTATTCTTCAGAGATGAGGAGCAGGACGAAGTTTCCATCAAGAAGGAGCCACTTTCCCTGGAAGAACTAATGGCCAAGAAGAAGGCTGAAGAAGATGCACGCAGCAAGGTCTGCTGGACATTTTTGACTGCACTCCTCAGCTTAGCAATCTCTTTCTCCTTGTTTGTGTTCCTTGTTGCTAAGTGCCTGGTTACCTCAACTTTTTTAAAGCTATGGATAGCAAGTTGGTGTTCACAAGGTTTGCTAATGAGAAGGGGAACCCACAGCCATGGCATTGAGGCTGTTCTTTAAAGACATGTGGCATCCACAGCTAACCGGGCAGCTTTTTTGCTTCTTTTACTTTTGTACAGTAAAACTGCATGTGTATGCACAGCCACTTACCACTGCTATTGCACTCGAGACGGCTTTAAAGAGATAAAACTCTCTGTAACTGGTGGCTGCTGCAACATTGTGTATTTTCTCATCACTACATATTCCTCGCGACCTTCGAGCATTGAGGTTTTAAAAATAAGAGCATCTCATAAACTATGTCGGCTTTTCAGCCAGTGTTCCTGACCAAAGAGCAGCGAGCGGCTGAAGCCCTGAAGCGCCGTCAGCAGGAGGTCCAGGAACAGCGTCAAAAAACGGAGGAGGAGCGCAAGAAGAGGCAGCAGTTTTTTGAGCAGGCCAAGCGCGCCTGTGGTGAGCCTAAAGCTTCTTAGTGCTTAAGCTATAACTAATGACTTGTTGATTTATATATACAGTGAGCTCTCAGTAAATTGAAATCTATAAAATGCAATTGTTCGCTTAAATGGAACAACTGCCTCTAATGTGATTAGTTCTGTGCTTCATTTTTGTTCCCCTGTTAATCTCTCAGTGAGTGGAACATACTTCACTGGTCCCTTCATGTTTTGTTTGACGAGTTTACTGCTGTTGGAGACAATTTAAAAGTCTTGAGAGGCACCACCCAGACGACCATAGTGTGGCAGCCAATTAATTGCCTTTGCGACTTAAGAAGTAGTCTTTCTCATGCACTTGGCAATGTTCTCCGAACACGGTGTCACCGGCCATCTAGCTCATGACGTCAGTCTGAAGTGCATGCCATTTGGGGCAGCCTTGTGTGGATCCACCCTTGAGCGGGTGCTGAGCACTCCGGATTTCTTATCCAACTATAGCCAGTGACTGAAAATGCTTCCGCAGTGCAGATATTTTACTTAAGTGCAAGTCAAGAAAAAGCGGCTTTTTGCCGTTCCCTTCAGCCAATGATGTTGCTGTGTCATCAGGACATCACAGCCGACCACCGTAGTGCCGCGCTCACGAAAAAAGTTCAAAGGCATTTTATTTCGTGCTTATAGACCTCAACCAAAAGGGCTGCCTTCGGTTTCCATACTTACCAATGAAAAGTACAAGACAATCCATCGGTGGCGTCAATGACATCGTGCTCTCACAAGCTGAATTTAGTATTGTTCAAACCAAGTTGAAGTCCATGAAAAGCCTAGTTTGTGTATTGTGTGTAGTGTTCGGTAACAATGTTCGCCATGGCATTTTAGTTTGCTACGTAAGAACTCAGTGCTGCCTGGAAAGAGCCATTGATATTTGATCCCATAAGAGCAGAAATTCACTGGCACCAATGAAGGCACAATTCACCACTCTAGCTTACCAAAAACTCTTTCATGTGTTGTATTGTAACGGGGAACTGAAAAAAATAGAACTGGAATTTTATTTCTGCTCAAAATGAACGGCGTCCAGCAGAACTACTTTACGGCACGGACGCATTCGTAGAAGCTTGGGTGCAAGCGCTGCATGTTGGTGCAATGTGCTTGTTACGACTTCACAATGACACGGTGACACCGTTGCCTGGCGGGTGGTCCTTTGATGGGGATAAGCTGCTTTTTTCTTGACATGTACCCAAGTATAGCCATGCTATTAATGACAGAGTTTGCTTATGAATTGACTGCAGATACTTGTGTGTTCATGAAAGAGCTTGCAAATGATTATAAGTAGTGGAGCACTTTGACATACCAACCAGAAAAGTCATCAGAAAATTGTAAAAAAAATCAGCCATGTCTGCAAGTGGAACCAGGTGAAATCTGTCATCTTGCCAGGGCCTTGTGTCATGCTAAAAAGTTTTCCAAGAAACTGAGACTAATGTTTGTATTTTTCAGTTGTGCTGTCGTCAACTTTCACTTGACGAGTGATTTAATTAACAAAAATTGGTGTCAGTTCTGAAGCTCTTTCTTTTTCTGGTGAAAGCATAGTTATTGCTGCACAAACTGCTGCTGGGAGCTTCTAAACTCATTACCGAAACCGTTATGTAATTTTTAGGCAGTTTTGTTACCTTACATTTTTACATCATGTTGCTCATTGATCGTGTTAATACATTTCGTTGTTTTGCAGATGATGTCTCTGATCGCCTGGACAGACGAAGAAAAGAGCGTGAGCGGTACCGTGAAGCTGATGGTGAAGAAGATGATGGCCGAGACAAGATCAGGGAACACTAAGGACAAAGAAAAGGAATTTGAAGCTATCAAGGTAACCCACCAGGGCTTTCGCAGCAGAGCTGCTTTTTTTTTTCTTTTAAGCACTTCGTTTGACGTCTGATGGCCTGAGCATGTTAGGTATGTGAGGCTGTGGGGAGGTTTGGCTCAGGGATGTGTAGAGTTCATGTAAATTCTGGTTTCTATTTACCATAATTACTCGAATCTAACGCGCACCTTTTTTCCGGTTAAGCGAGTTCATAAATCGCATGCGCGTTAGAATCGAGTACGAACAAAAAAATTACGGTCAATCTATTGCCATCGGCAAATCCAAAACGGCCGCCCCCTACGTGTGTCGGCATGGTGCGTCGGCTATTTCTGCCTATGTGTTTACCATGTGCGGCACTTCGTACGTGTGCTGAGGAGTTCGTCATCTAGTAGTGCATTAGCATCGACGACGTGGAAGGGCCGACTCCAAAAACTCGAGTGCACCACGATGCCGCTTTTAAAAGAAAAGTCATCACGTGTGCAGAAACGCACGGAAATTGGGCCGCATCGCGGTCGTTCCCGAAATGTGCGTGCGGGACCGGCGGAAACAAAAGCAGAAGATTGTCGACAGCAAAGCTTCACGCAAAGGCTTCAGTGAACCACAGCAGGGTCGGTTTCCGCAAATTAAAGAGCTGCTCCGCGAGTATGTGCTTGAGGAGCGAGCGGCACAGCGGCCCGTGACGACAGAACTGCTCCAAGTGCGGGCTATGCAATTAGTCTTAGAAAAAAGTCTAATGCGGAGCCAGTTTAAAGCGAGCAGGTGCTGGCTAATTAACTATATGAAGAGGAAAGGCTCTTCCCTCCGAAGGGGAACATGCATATGCGAAAACTTTTGCGGAGAAGTACGATGAAAAGCTTTACAGGTTTCAGAGGTTCGTCCTAAACTTGCGGCGCAACAACGGCTACCTGCTTGGGCAAATCTGGAATGCCGATCAGACGCCTCTTTACTTCGACATGCCTGGCACCACAACTGTCGAGAAGAAGGGGGCGAAGCAAGTTCGCGTGCTGACATCGGTCCACGGTAAAACTACAGTGACGGCAAAGCTCTGTTACACGTCAGATGGGCACAAGCTTCGCCTGTACCTCATATGTAAATGGATGACAATCTCGAAAGGAATCGTTTTTTCGAGTGGCGTGATCGTGCGGGCCCGCAAAAAAAATGGGTGCGCGTTGCAATCGATGTCTTACGTTTTTTTTTTTTTTCGCGGTGGAAATCGGGTGCGCGTTACAATCGAGGGCGCGGTAGAATCGAGTAAATACGGTAATAGAAGTGATGTTAGTATCTTGTCAACTTATGTGGCAACTGTCGGTTGTCATCTTCAATTTAGCACTTCCGGGTTACTTGTCCCTCATGATAATGTGTGTGGGGTATGATAAACTCACATCGCTGTGTTCACAGCTCATGTTCTTGCTATGTTGCATTATCACCTGTAACACTGGCCACGATGCTTAGATTACGGTCGGCCAGAATATGGACTCTGAGAGGGAAAGAGAGGTTTTAGATTTGAGTCACGCATACTGCCAGTTGTGTTCACTGAAAGCTACAGCTACAAAGAGCCCTTGAAGCGGAGCTCACGTGATGGGAAGCAAATTGTGAAAAGAGTTCTTTGACATGTGTGTTTACAGCAGCTTGTGGAATGGACCCGATTTCGTGTAGTGGTGAAAGTGCTGTTCTCGCAGGAACGGTACCTGGGCATCATCAAGAAAAAGCGCGTGTGCGGAGACTAAACGATCGCAAGTTTGTCTTCGACTGGGATGCCTCTGAGGACACAGCCGTTGACTATAATCCAATCTACAAAGAAAAGCACACCGTGCAGTTTTTTGGTCGGGGACACGTTGGAGGGATTGACCTCAAGGTGCGCCCTCTTTTCCCCATTTTTTCATGTGGAGATTGGATGTCTTGCCTTCTGTTTTGGTGTCACAACTTGTTATGTAAGTCTTAGTGCAGCTTTTAGTGGCTCCAGTTTTTCAGCCGTTCAAACGAACAGTAACAGCTGTGAAGATTACCGTTTGCCACTCCATATATTATCACCCAGTTTTAGTCAATTTCACCTTCTGTACTGATCTCTGGCCTCAATCTTCCAAATTCACTGCAACAGCAATTAAAAGCTGGGTTTGCTTTTAAGAGGGACATGGCACTCTAGAATTTTTCAATTGCTCTCTTGATCCATTTTGGTGAAATTTGCCTCTTTGAAATGTATACAGTTATTTTTTATTATAGTCTGTTGCTCTTGAAATATAAGATGTTTCATGTGACTTTTGGCGACGGAGATTTTTAACTGGGAGAGTTACAGAGTAAATCAGCATATCAGAATAGTAATATGGAATCTGAACTCTGTATAGCTAGAATAAAAATGGAGTTGACGTCAAGCTTGGATGGTCATGTACCATAGCTTTTGTTCAGATGTGTTTAGTACATCCATTTTCGTCAGGCTTTTAGAGTGCTTTCTTTTATTATTGTTTAGTTAATAACTTGTTTATAGGACTTGATGTCTTCGTTGTAGAGTGCAGCAGTCATTTGCCTTCACTAAGGCTTATTGGCATTGACAGATGAGCCCCATCATTGCAAGGACATTTGGTTGCATGTGGGAGCAGCTTTAACACATAACACTGCATTGATAGTTGGCTGCTATTAAACCGCTTGGTTACTCAAGCAGGTGTGGAAACATTAAGCCTACTCCATTCCCTAGTTCAAGTTTTGGCATGTAATACCTTGCGGGGAACACCAAAATGAGAAGAGGCTACTCCTGCATATTATGTGATCATTTTGTTCAAATGTAATTTTCTAATCTTGATGTGCAGGCTCAAAAGAAAGAACAGTCCAAGTTCTATGGCGAGTTACTGGAACGCCGAAGAACACAGGCAGAAAAGGATCAAGAAGTGTAAGCTTTATTATACCTTCAATGGAGCATGGACAAAGGACTTGAAAAACATGTTCACAGTTGTTACATTCACTTTTTTTTACGTTAATCTTGTTAACCATCCTTGTTCAAAAGCCTAGTTTTACTAGGTGTAGTCTCAGTTCTATTCACTCTGCTAGCTCTCTTCCTCCAGGGTATGCTAAAGAGAAACAATGACTTGATTTAGATTGATAAACTGATCTCAAGGAAATCCACTGCCACAAGTTTCATGTCATAAGTTCATTATTAGTGGAGGAAATGAAGGTTAAAGTTTCATTTTTAAATTCGTTGGAAATCTCTGCACGTAGCGTAACAAATTACAAAGTGTATTTTTTGTATTTTTGCAACAGTTGGCTTAATGAAATTTTCTGAAACTTGGTATGCTTGGTCTATGGCACCCACAGATGACAATTTACTTCATTTTCATCGAGTAGAAGCTATGCAGAATCCAGTAGATGCCTTCAAAATATACTATGTCACGGTTTTTGGTACGGGAATCTCATGGTGGCATCTCCACCATTTTCTTTTCGCACGTTTTTTTCGCTTACCAATTGTCATGCCGTGGTAAGAGTGGTGTTTTCGAGATTGGGAAATTGTACTTTACTAATACGCAAAAAATTGTTTTGTGCCTTAGTGTTTTTTTCAGGGTCAGTTGCATCAGTCGCATCTTTTCTACTCAGCTCCACTCTTGTAGTGTGACTGTTTCACAATATATCCATTACATTGTGCAGACTTTTAAAGTGTATAGAAGTTTTTTTTGCAGTAGTGTCATAACAATGTGGCACTGCCATCAGTAGTGGCCATGACTGTGCTGGCAGGCAAAGTAAAATTTTACAGGAAACGCTGCCGTGTTTTATGAGTTCTTGGCACTTTATAACTTGTGAAATCAGAGACTATAAATGAGGCATGTAGGATGTTTTACGAGTGTAATTGAATGGAATTACTACTACTGCAACAGGAACTGATGCTGCCATAATTTATTGTGTATAGCCTTCTTTCTGGGCTCCAGTTACTTTGTAGTTGCCTCAAAGCGAGGCAGCTAGAACAGAAGGGAGGAATGCGGAGATGGAATTAAGAGAATCATTGCGTTTCATAGTTGCATTGCACTTCCCTCATCTCTCGACAAGAGTTTCCATGGGTGTGTGTTGATGATGTCTCGTCAGGGTGCGGCTGAAGAAGATCAAACGCAAGGAGGAAAAGCAGAAGTGGGACGACCGGCACTGGTCGCACAAGTCCTTAGAAGAGATGCAGGAGCGTGACTGGCGCATCTTCCGCGAGGACTTCAACATCACCATCAAGGGCGGCCGCATCCCCAACCCGCTCCGGAAGTGGTCCGAAGTGCAACCTCCCCACCGCCATACTGGACGTCATCAAGGAACTTGGATACAAGGTGTGAGCTTGTTGCTGCTTGCAGTGCATGTTTGTGTGTGGCTTGGTTGCTGGCACTTCGAGTTAATTCGTCCTCAACTGACAGGCTGAATTTGAATGGACTAACCAAGCAATACTTTACAAGAGTGTGATGCCAGCGAGGTGTGCACAGGGTTCTGAAGGGGCATGCAAATAAAAATAAATTTAACAGCTTCACTTGCTATAAATTGAAATATCTAAATGATGCACATTAAGTCCAACTTTTCTTTTGAATTTCTACATATTGGAAGGGTTAACACTTAACGGCCGTCGCCGCACTCTGATACTATTTCATATGTGATAGCTCGATCAGTACAATCAGTGTTGAAGGAATGCAGGCTAAAAATGAACCACACTTAATCCTGAAATAAATAAAATAAATAAACAAATAAATAAAAGGGGGAGGGAGGGGCAGCAAATACAGTGCACCCTCCAAGCAAGTGAAATCTATTGTGCTGGCAGCTCTTTTGTTGGGGATGCTGGCTTTGAGGTCACTTCTGGAAATGCCTCGATCACAGGTCAATTCCATGGCCGTTACCTTGACGTGCTCAGCCTATGTAGAGCTCCTTGAGAAAAGCTTCAAGCTCGTCATCAGAGTCTAGATATTTTCCCATTTCCTGTTCACAGAAACATTTCCTAGTTGACGTGCTGCTGGAGATCTCCTTCCTTTGTTTGCACTCACAGACCCTGGTTTCAGGTGTACAAAAAGGATCTGAAGTCGCTGTCCTCAGCATGTGAACTTTCCTTTCATATGAACTTTGATAATGAAAAGCGCATACATTGCTTCCACTTTTCCGGGAACAAGTTTGCCGCGGAAAGTAGTTCTGCCGAAATCAGCCTGTGTAGACTTGGTTACAATTTTGTGATGGCAGTGTCACTACATCTGTCCCTCAGATGGTCAGCTGTTGCTAATGCTGTGCAGTTGGTTTCGGTTTTGCACTCAATCGACTAGTTTTCAAAGCATGCTTTCTGAACAATGTCTTGCACTGCAAAATCACCCTGCAATATCGCATTTGTTAGTATGACACTAAAGACGGCGAAACGTCAAGTTGTCCAGGCTTGTGCCGGTACTGCACGTTATGCCAGCATGTCACTATGCAACAGCTAGCAGTGCAGTTTTATGCCCACGTGGTGGTGAGCGTGCTGCCACCGTGTGTGCAGGTTTTTCTGTATTTCTGTCTCTTGTGCTTACACTTATCATTTTTAGTTCTATGGACTGTAGCTTCTTCTCAGGTTTCGTTGTTAGCCTCCAAGTCTTGCTACCACTGATGGTTTTATCTATACTAACAAAATACCTTTCCTTCTAAGGATATCGGTAACATTGTTAATGTATATTAACAAAGTACCTTTTCTTCTAAGGATATTGGGACATTGTTATCGTATTTACTCTCTTAATCCTTGCACTCGCATAATTCTCGCACCCCCCTCATCGCTGAACAAAAATACGACTTTCTTTTTTTCCTCGAGTAATTATCGCACCCCAAAAACTGCCGCAATAATGTTGTCTGCTCGTTCCAGCCACTAATGATAATAGCGCGCGTCATCTGGCGCCATCTTTAAGCATCAAGCGTACTATTACTGCACGGAGATTCAGTCCAATACAAGCAAAGCCAAAGTGGCAAGTGCGCGTTGCGGCGTGTTTTGTATGTTGTGTTGGTAATCTTGTCACATTATGGGGCGATACTGAAGCTACGTGGCTGCTTTCAAGTTGGAAGTGATAAATCATGCTCTAAAGAACGATAAAAGGGCCGCCGGTAGGCCCTTCGGAGTCTACGAGTTTTGTGTTGCCTACTGGTGACGGCAGTTGAAAGCCACCAAGACGCGTTGGGCCTGGCGTGTGCATAAAAACTGGGATTGATCGTAAACTTTATTTCTTCAGAAGAAAAATGCGGACGATTCTATTAATTAGCCATATCAGCCTACTACTGACGTTCTAGGCTTACCTTTTGAGGGCTCCTGTTGCGCGACGAATGCTACTGCTATGGCCACAACACCCACAAGCTTTGCGTATGGTATTCTAATTCTCAACTATTTGCTTGCACTTTTAGTTTCTCAAATAAATCTTGCCTTGTGTTGAACCAGTGCTTTTAATGTTGAGGTTAGCTTTAATCAGTACTTCTCAAAGCTTGCTGTTAGTTGCTTGCGTGAGAATCCCGATTTGCGGCCACTTTGTTTTCTTTTTTGCACTGTACGTTTTCGTGGAAAGTTTTCGCCACGTAATTCTCGCACCCCCCAACTTTGCAACGGTTTTCCGCCAAAAAAAGTGTGAGGATTATGCGAGTAAATACGCTACTTGAAAATCCTTCATATCGCTGGGTGGGATGGACTGGCTTGCTACCCAACTTTGCATGATGTATCTACTGCCACATTAAGCTTATTAAAAAGCTTAAGGTGTCGTCTCTCTGCCTGTAATCACAGGACCCCACGCCAATCCAGAGGCAAGCCATCCCCATCGGCCTCCAGAATCGGGACATCATTGGTGTTGCCGAAACAGGCAGTGGCAAGACACTGGCCTTCCTGCTGCCACTGTTGGTTTGGATCACCTTCCCTGCCCAAGATCGAAAGGTCACCCTCTGAACTTCGCATTCCTTGTAGTCGCTTTGTGTAGATCATTGAGAGTAACTGGCTGTGCAAGAACATAGACTGGGAAAAAAGGCCACAACTTTACAACTGAATATGATAGGGGCGTATTTTTTTCTGCGCCACAATTCTGCATGCCTGTATGTTTTTAAATAGTCAAAACTGAAAATTTAGTTTTCTTTACTATGTCATTTGAAATTAAAGCCGGTGCCATGCCTTTTTTTTTCCAGGTCTATTTAGCAGTGTGCCAGACCAGATAGGTTGCATTGGACGGGGGCACTAGCTAAGACTGGCAATAAACAGAATCCATCCTCAGGGTGAACTTCTATTACAGTTCTATTACCTCTGGCTAATACACTGACTTTGGAAAGTATACATACACCGTCATCTACGTGTGGACTGTAACCACTTTAAATTTCTTCAAAATATACCGTAATTACTCGAATCTAACGTGCACCTTTTTTCTGGTTAAGCGAGTTCATAAATCGCATGCGCTTTAGAATCGAGTACGAACAAAAAAATTACGGTCAATCTATTGCCATTGGCAAATCCAAAACGGCCGCCCCCTACGTGCGTCGGCATGGCGCGTCGGCCATTTCTGCCTATGTGTTTCCCATGTGCGGCACTTCGTACGTGTGCTGATTAGTTCGTCATATAGTAGTGCATTAGCATCGACGGCGTGGAAGGGCCGACTCCAAAAACTCGAGTGCACCACGATTCCGCTTTTAAAAGAACAGTCATCGCGTGTGCAGAAACGGATGGAAATCGGGCCGCAGCGCGGTCGTTCGGAGTTCCCGAAACATGCGTGCGGGACCGGCAGAAACAAAAGCAGAAGATTGTCGACAGCAAAGCTTCACGCAAAGGCTTCAGTGGACCACAGCAGGGTCGGTTACCGCAAATTAAAGAGCTGCTCGGCGAGTATGTGCTTGAGCAGCGAGCGGCACAGCGGCCCGTGACGACAGAACTGCTCCAAGTGCGGGCTATGCAATTAGTCTTAGAAAACGGTCTAATGTGGAGCCAGTTTAAAGCGAGCAGGTGCTCACTAACTAACTTTATGAAGAGGAAAGGCTTTTTCCTCTGAAGGGGAACATGCATATGCGAAAAGTTTTGCGGAGGAGTACGATGAAACGATTCACAGTTTTCAGAGGTTCGTCCTAAACTTGCGGCGCAACAATGGCTACTTGCTTGGGCAAATCAAGATCGCCGATCAGACGCCTCTTTACTTCGACATGCCTGGCACCACAATAGTCGAGAAGAAGGGGGTGAAGCAAGTTTGCGTGCTGACATCGGTCCACGGTAAAACTACAGTGACGGCGATGCTCTGTTACACGTCAGATGGGCACAAGCTTCGCCCGTACCTCATATTTAAATGGAAGACGCTCCCAAAAGGAGTCGTTTTTTCGAGTGGTGTGATCGTGCGGGCCAGTGAGAAGAATGGGTGCGCGTTGCAATCGATGTCTTACGTTTTTTTTTTTTTTTTTCGCGGTGGAAATCGGGTGCGCATTACAATCGAGGGCGCGGTAGAATCGAGTAAATACGGTACATTGCATCTCATTAACTTACCTGCATATGTTTATAAATTATAAAGCTCTTGGCTGTCGGCGAGTCTAGCTGGCTTTCTGTAGCTTGCCGGGGGAGTTAGTACACTCGAACCTCGTTATAACAAACTTGTGTCTTACATGAAAATAAATTCATTATATCTGAAAATTAGTTTTGAAGGATGATTCTTAACATTAAATATATTGCAAGGCTATTTTTCATTTACTTCATTAAAACCGATATTTCGTTATATCTAGATTCGTTAAATCGAGGTTTGAGTGTATACACTATGCATGTCTGAGCATTTGAGAGGTGAGCACCACTATATAAAACAGTGTTTTTCACATGGGTTTTATGTACAGTTATGATCATAAGAAAGCATCATTTAATTGAGGCTCCTATAAATTTTTTTTCAGTGCTTATTTTTTCAGTACAAGAGTAATGAAATCAATGGAGCCAAACAGTGTTTATGTATACATTCTTGCCACGAACGCCACTTTTGTCTTATTCTTCGCTTTTTAGACATGCTTTGTTGGCTTGCAGGCAGGAGGATGCTGATCAAGGACCGTACGCTATTATCATGGCTCCAACACGTGAGTTGGCCCAGCAGATTGATGAAGAAACTACGAAGTTTGCCAAGATGCTGGAAATCCGTTCGGTAGCCGTCATTGGCGGTCTCTCCCGTGAGGAGCAAGGATTCCGATTGCGTCTTGGCTGCGAGGTGAGCTCCTGCGTTGTCTGTCCAGTTTCACCGGGGTTTCGTACGTGGCATCATACTTCATACTAAAAAGGAGATAAAAAAATGTTGGGAGAAGCTTTTAGCGTTTAGCCAGATTCCATACTCCACCTCTTCCGATTTCCCTGGAAAACACCGAAATTCGGACAGCCCTCCTGATTGCACGGGAACAGTCCTAAATCTTCTCAAAACAGTTCTAATGCCACTGTGAAAAGAAAATAATAAAGTTAGTAACAAACATTTTATTCGATTTAATTTCATTTCTAGGATGAGGGTAGGCTTGGGAAAAAAAGTGATGGCTATGATCTGAGAAGCCGAGCTTCCCTTATACAAGGAAAATAACGAAGACATACGGGTGACAGATCAATGAATCTAGAGCACGAAAGGCTTCACGCAGTGCAAGTAAAAACATACATGAAAACAATGCTGGAGCACACTAGCGTCATGCAGAAATGACAAGGGCTATCAAGCTGTCATGGGACAGAGCAGAGTTCGTTCCTTGATTATGCACTGCTTGCATGCGCCATAAAAGTATGAGTATCTGTATGATCACTGACATACACAAAATTTTCTTGCAATCATTCATTCATGATGTCGCTGCTGCCTCCAGAAGCAGTAAATTTATATGTATGCCGGCATTTTTATGTCCCTGCCCTCCCTGCCACTTTACAAATTTCTTGAATTTCGAGGTCACCAGGTTGACAGACTATGTAATTCTAGTGGTGGCACTATCATGATGTTATGAGTTAGATTAGTGATGCCATGCCCTGCCTGTTTTTCCTTCGCAGATCGTGATAGCCACCCCTGGTCGTCTCATTGACGTCCTTGAGAACAGGTACCTGGTACTGAGTCGATGCACCTACATCGTTCTCGATGAGGTGAGCACACATGCATTCGCAACTTTGACGTCTCTTAATAGACTTGTAATGAACTTTTAAAGAAGAATAGCTTATTTTGACAGAAAACTGGTTTGTTTTGCTAAGGCTCCTTCTCATTTTCTGGAAGTAAAAGTATCACCTAGCCAGTTCAACTGTGGCTGGTCGAATTGAGGTTGGTTCTACTTTTGTTACCTGAAAGGCTGCAAAAATTTACATAATTTAGTTAAGCAGCTGCTAATGCATGTTGGAGGTTGCATGCAGAAAACCATTTGCAAGTGTGTCGCACTGTAAATGAGCTTCATTCACGTGTATGCACTTAGGTTTCTAAACTGCAAAATACCAAGGAAGGATCAGGACTGTTTAAACAGAAAAGCAAATCATTGTCGACATTTAAAAGAATTTCATTCAGTGGCTTGGTTTCGTGGTCTTCCAGCAAAATAGTACTTCTACTAAATCCGCATAAGTTTGTTAAGTACTACAGATCGCAACTGCAGTGCGGTAGCTGTGTGTTCAGAAACCAAAAAAAAAAAAGGGAGAGAGAGAGGGAAAAGAAAAGTAACAGAAAGTAAAGTTCACAAAATTTATTACCATATTGGCACTTTGAAGCCAGTCTTAGCTTGCATCTTTCTGTATAAACGGCCATGCAGACATTGGTTTTTGTTATTTCTGCTAAGTATACATAGAAAAAAACTCACAGGTTATTCTTCAGTTGCTTTACTTGGCAATGAAGATGTTTCTTCGTTATGGTGATGGTACTCTATCTACTTTTATTTTACTTGCCCAGCTCACAACTATATATAGTTACTATGTGTGATGGTCCTGCCACGATGGATCAGTGACTGCGGTGCTCTGGTGCTGACCCGAAGGTCGAGGGTTCGATCTTGGCCACGGTGGTCGAATTTCAACGAAGGCGAAATGGTTGCAGGCCCGTGTGCTGTGCGATTGTCAGCAGACCTTAAAAAACACCAGATGGTCAAAATTTCCAGAGCCCTCCACTATGGCATCTCAAGAACAAAATGTGATTTGGAATTTAAAACCCCATATATGTAATAATAATAAGAATGTTATTATTATTATTATCATTTTATGTGTGATGTACTGTATAGGTGTATCCCGTGGTTTTTACCTTATTTTACGTTGCAAATTTTTATCAGTATGCTGTTACCATTGTCTTTTCTGTAATAGTACAGCTGTCCTTTGAAATAAACAACAAACGGTGATGTGCTCGTATGTGATCACAAGGCCGTCAGCTTCTAAGCTGTGGCTTGTTGTTGTAGGCCGACCGCATGATTGACATGGGCTTCGAGGGCGAGGTGCAAAAGATCCTGGACTACATGCCAGTCACCAACCAGAAGCCAGACACAGATGACGCCGAGGATGAAGAGAAACTACTTGCAAACTTTGCATCCAAACACAAGTACAGGCAGGTGTGTATGGTGGGGTCGTTTCTCTTGGGGCAGGGTAATTTTTATTTATGTGTAGTTTTCCTTTAAAATGTTCATGAAATCACTTTTTGTATTTCACTTACATTCATGTAGTAGCTGTAGTAAAAGCATTAAAGCTTCGAACTTAGAATTTTTGAATGAAGTTCGACCAAATATAATTAATACCTGTAGCTTCTTGGGCCCGTTCTCTCTCTCTCTCAAATTTGTATCTGCATTCACTACAGCTGAAAGACAGCAACAGACACTCAGGATTCTTTTATAATATTATATTCTAAATACATTCATCTAAGTTCGTTTTAATTGAGATGCTATTCAAAATTTGCTTCTGACCACTAGTTATATTTTTGAGTGTGTGTTAGGAATTTCATCTGACTATAGTTTCATTAGTAAGAACATTTTCACTTTTGAGAAGCAATACTGAGCTTTGCTTGAATGCCACATTGCAGACTGTGATGTTCACGGCAACTATGCCTCCAGCAGTGGAACGCCTGGCACGTTCCTACCTGCGAAGGCCGGCCATTGTATACATTGGCTCGGTGGGCAAGCCTGTGGAGAGGGTGGAACAGGTCGTGCACATTGTCACGGAGTCTGAGAAAAGGTTAGTCTACATTACTTATTTCCGCACTACTGCTTTCTCAAAGTAAAAATGACATTTATAGATGCATGGCAAATGCATAAAGGGTTAAAAAAATCATGTCTCATTTTTAAGTACCGTAATTACTCAAATCTAATGCGCACCTTTTTTCCGGTTAAGCGAGTTCATAAATCGAATGCGCATTAGAATCGAGTACGAACAAAAAAATTACGGTCAATCTATTGCCATCGGTAAATCCAAAATGGCCGCCCCCTACGTGCGTCGGCATGGCGCGTCGGCCATTTCTGCCTATGCGTTTCCCATGTGCGGCACTTCGTACGTGTGCTGAGGAGTTCGTCATCTAGTAGTGCATTAGCATCGACGGCGTGAAAGGGCCGACTCCAAAAACTCGAGTGCACCACGATGCCGCTTTTAAAAGAAAAGTCATCGCGTGTGCAGAAATGGACGAAAATCGGGCCGCATCGCGGTCGTTCGGAGTTCCCGAAACGTGCGTGCGGTACCGGCGGAAACAAAAACAGAAGATTGTCGACAGCAAAGCTTCACGCAAAGGCTTCAGTGGACCACAGCAGGGTCGGTTTCCGCAAATTAAAGAGCTGCTCGGCGAGTATGTGCTTGAGCAGCAGGCGGCACAGTGGCCCGTGACGTCAGAACTGCTCCAAGTGCGGGCTATGCAATTAGTCTTAGAAAAAGGTCTAATGCGGAGCCAGTTAAAGCGAGCAGGTGCTGGCTAACTAACTTTATGTAGAGGAAAGGCTTTTCCCTTTGAAGAGGAACATGCATATGCGAAAAGTTTTTCGGAGGAGTACGATGAAAAGCTTCACAGTTTTCAGAGGTTCGTCCTAAACTTGCGGCGCAACAACGGCTACCTGCTTGGGCAAATCGGGAATGCCGATCAGACACCTCTTTACTTCGACATGCCTGGCACCACAACCGTTGAGAAGAAGGGGGCGAAGCAAGTTCGCGTGCTGACATCGGTCCATGGTAAAACTACAGTGACGGCAATGCTCTGTTACACGTCAGATGGGCACAAGCTTCGCCCGTACCTCATATTTAAATGGAAGACGCTCCTGAAAGGAGTCGTTTTTCGAGTGGTGTGATCGTGCGGGCCAGCGAGAAAAATGGGTGCGCGTTGTAATCGATGTCTTACGTTTTTTTGTTTTTTTTTTTCGCGGTGAAAATCGGGTGCGCGTTACAATCGAGGGCGCGGTAGAATCGAGTAAATACATTAACTGAATCCACCGGAAAAGCAGTTTCCCAGCAATGCAAGTGAGAGTTCAGCAACTCTCACGACACCCTGTCAGTCTGGTTGTTAGGCCATGACATTTAGGCAGGAGTTAAGAGGAAGGCAGTAGATTGCAACTTTTTCTTGTGCTTGTTTCTCTTTGGCCTCGTCCACAAATGGTATCAAAAGTTTGAACCTCTACCGTTGTAAAGACTGCTTGAATATTGTAATCTTTTCCCAATCTCTCATTTTGCATTGGCTGGGGGCAAAAATATGATGTAATTGGGGGTAAATAAACTTCGTGGCTCTACAAAGTCATACTTAGTACAACTCTTTCATTACCGCGCTTGTTCAAATCGATCACCGGTGATCAACGCTTTGGATCATCGATTTTGGCATGTTGAGTTTGTTTCTATTGCTCCCAGTACTTTTAGTAGTTAGTCCAATGGCTCAACTTTCAGAATCAATTTGAATTTGCCCATTTTGGCAACATTGTGATTTTGTCAGACATTTTCGCGAACCAATGTGTGTGTGTTGATGGGAAAATCCACTTGGCGGGCAAATGTGACTCAAGTGCGTGCTCCTCGTTTTTATGCTACAGTAACATCAAAGCTCTGTAATCAAAAGCGTCTTTGCAAGTCAAATATCTAATTGAGGTGTCAGCTTCGCAATCTGACTGTGTTGAGCAATAATAACTGCCAAAAATTTATGCCAGCTACTTAGTTAATAGAAAGGTGTTGCTAGCAGTCGGGAAAATTTTGTTCCACAAAAATAATTTACAAAGGTCTGTCGCATGTATAAAATGTGGAGGAGGCCTTTTCAGTCAGTTTTGGTTTCACTTGTATGGTTTAATGGCTTGTATGCTTTTGCTTGTAATTGTATGCTTCTAGCAGCTTTGGTTTCGCTTGTGTGGTTTAATCAGACACGGCCACATTTAGTGTCATTAGTTGCTCCTATGTCATCGTCGTCACACGCATATCGGTGCACACCTGCGCTGCAAAAAACACGCACCGCTCGAAAATGTCTTTCAATCGTACCTTGAGTGAGGACGAGCTTAGAGTCCCGAGGATGACAGCACCTAAGCTTAAGCTTTTTGGCGACGATGTTTTGCTTTAGCCTGAGACATCCCCAGTCGTCCATAGGTTTGTTTTGTTTAAGACCTCAAATTGTCTCCTCTGACGCAAGTGCGTAGCGGCTGACGTTAAGCTCAATCTTAAATGAACTCTGGTTACGTGCGAGGTCCACACGTCCCTGGGGTGCGATGTGCTGGCGCTGGCCTCAGAGCATCTGCACGTGACAAGAAGGCCAAGGCCACCAGAGCACTTCGTTTTGACTACGGAGCAGTACGAGACGTTTTTTAAATGTGTGATATTGTTCTTTGTTTAATACGATGTGCAAAAATTCACTGAAATATGCTTGGATGCACATATTCTAATGCCAATCTATGTGGAGTAAGGTCGCTCACAGAAAAAGGTTATGCTAGACCAGCTAATGAGGTTCATTAGGCATGTAATTATAATTTATCAAGACATTGTTACCATCATGGGCGTTCATATATATTTGAACACCTGCAAGATGTTATTGAAAGAAAACTAATATTTATTGATAAATTTAGCACGAAGGCACCAATGTCTCATGAAAAACCAAGCAATGCTTCACTGCAAGGCATAATCATAGAAGCAGTACCTTGGCTCACATATTCTTTGTCTACGTTAATAGAAACTTTTTCTACAACATAACATTTATTATTTTTTATATTGTTTCTGTGTCACTTACCTTTAGAACGTATGTCAGAATTTTTTTTGTTTTGAATATTTTGCACATAGTGTTTTTTCTTGCACAGTGTACCAGCTGGCAACCAAAAATTACTCACTCTTCACATTTTAATTCATTCTCGACTATTTTTGTTGCTCTACAACATATATTATCAGAAAGAGCACTTTTTTTGTGCAAAGTTTGGTGTGCGGCAATGCGTGCTAAAGTAATTTTCGAACTGGCAAAAGCTACCTTTCCGAGACATGTGAAAAATAACCATTTTTGCATGATAAAGAGAGCTAATAGAAAGCACAGTGCATAAGTTGAGCAGTCATAGTAAAGCTCTCAACATACTAATCAGAGAATCAGTCCAAGTGAAGCTTGATGGTTTTTCTCGGGGAAAATAATTCTTTATTGACTTCAAATTTACAGCAGCTGTACAGTTGAATCATTTTGTAAGAGACATGTACTGGAGTAAAGTTCTTATTCCTTACACGAATTGTCTCTTATAAGCAGGGTACCACGTGTTCATTTCCAGATCAACACTTACTTCAATGTAGGCATGCTAGCGTCTCCTATACCCAACTGTACTACATCAGTGGCTCTTACAAATGGGTTCAACAGTATAGAGTGAACATGGTTTTCTGTAGTGCATAGATGTATGCCTCACATGAGGGGGGATTCTGAAGCGTTTGTGGCCCACGCAGGAAGAAGCTGGTTGAGCTTCTCAACCGTGGTGTGGAGCCACCTGTCATCATCTTCGTCAACCAGAAGAAGGGTGCTGACGTGCTTGCCAAGGGTCTCGAGAGAATGGGCGTAAGTTCGTGCAGAAGTTTCGCGGGCTCACACATGAGGGGCAGTGCCATCGAGTGCATTATCACATTTTTATTACGTAAAAGTTCCCCAGATGTTGCCTTGCTCGTTACTCACTTCTCGATATACATGTGCTTCTCAGAAGTCGCTTAAGCCTATTGCAAGATTTTCGTCATATCTTCAGAAGTTAAGTCATTACATAAGTAGCTATACTAAATAAGTTCTTCTACTGGATTGTTCTACACGTGCTCTTTCATTATTGCTTGCAGTTCAACGCATGTACACTGCACGGTGGCAAGGGCCAAGAGCAGCGTGAGTTTGCTCTGGCCAGCCTCAAGGGTGGTGCAAAGGACATACTGGTGGCCACAGATGTGGCCGGTCGTGGTATCGACATCCGCAACGTCTCCATGGTCATCAACTACGACATGGCCAAGACCATCGAAGGTGAGGAGAGATGCAAATATGTGACATCACTCAAATTTTTTTGTCATTTTATGGGTGCCTGTGTGGATACACACTGGGAGTCCTCACATCTGTTGTTGCACACTTCATTGCTGAAGGTAACTGTTTAACACTTTTTGCTGCTGCTGCAGATTACACTCATCGTATTGGTCGTACGGGGCGAGCAGGCTTGCATGGCAAAGCTGTATCTTTCGTTACGAAGGAAGACTCCCATCTCTTCTACGACCTCAAGCAACTGATTTTGAGCAGTCCAGTCTCCACGTGCCCACCAGAATTGGCCAACCACCCAGACGCACAACACAAGCCTGGCACTGTGGTTACCAAGAAGCGTCGCGAGGAAAAGATCTTTGCATGAATGACATCTCTCATTGTTGTGTTAATAAAAGACAGCTCAGGCACCGTGTGTGTGGCAGCAGTTTCACACGCTACCTGTAGCTTCTATTTCTGTCTGTTTTCTTGTTTTTTCTGCATTTTGTCATCACTAAGACAGTATGCCATGTTGCTTTGAAAACAAGTTACTCTCCTGCGACTTTTGCCACATTTGTTACACACAGATTACTGTGTTCCTGCTACTAAAGTTTGATCTAACCAAAGCAAATAGCCAAACGCATCTGGAAAGCATTTAGCTATTTGCTTAGGCTGTATTTATTTTGTGGCATAATTTCGTGCCCAAGCGACCGTTAACCAGCTCATCATTATACTAATAGTTCGCTTTACATATAAACCGACTGTTGTCCCCAGGGGTGGAAGTGCTATTATAAAGATGTGTGAATCTTGAGATGCTTAGTAGCTGTCACCACAGCACGTGTTTATCTCAAAAAGCTACTATAGGTTGTATTCAATGATCTACCCAGCCGACAACTAGGTTGTCAGTAGCTTGGGTGGGCTGTTTCACTAGAATGAAGTAAGTTCAGCATCGTAACTCTTTTTTCTTGAAGAACGCTTCACCGGGCTGCATCGACCTGGAGTGACGGGGATGACACGAGGCAGAAAGATTAGCCAGCTGTGTGTGAGCACATGCTCTTTGTAGTGGTGTTTTTGTGCCGGTAGTCCTTATCAAATATTCGCTAAAATGCATGATAGTGCCAAAGAATGTTATTCATTCTATGATGGTGATGATGTGTTGTGTTTTGTGGTGCAAGGGCCATTTCATGGCCAAAGAGCGCCAGTTGATGTGACTAGAGATTGTGACAATCATTGTGATAAGGAGCTGTATAAGGGCCTTAAAATTTCTCGTGCTAAGGAGGGTAACAACATAGCAGTAATAAAATCATGACCACGCTGTGATAAGTGTGTGGTATTAATGGATGACAAAAGTTTGTGATAATAAAAACGATGGTGGCCATGTATGGCATTAGCAATAGTGCCGCAATCGTTCACATCCTCGCGCCCAAGGGCCGGGGGGGAAGTGCTTTGTTCAGTGTAGCCATTACAGCGAAGATCTCTCTGAAAAGGTCATGCTACGGAATGCCCAGGCATATGACGTGAAAAGTACGGACGTCTCTCAAGAAAGCCAACAACAATTTATGTGTGAAAAGTAGTTCCCTATCGACGAACATTGCATAGTGAAGTGGTATCTGTTGTCGATAGGTAACGGAAAGAGTTGTCTTCGCAACGTGTCTAATTCTTTACACTGGATTAGAATGTGAAGTCCGGTGAGTGCTGCTCCACATCTGTCACATAAGGGTGGATCGCCTCCAGACAAAAGGAAGTTATTCATTCTAAATGTGCAGTAATTCGGTATTGTCTGCTATAGTAACTAACCCGATCTTTTAAGCCTCATCTCTGCGAACCTCCTCATTCGAATGCGTTTCCTGTTTTCTGATCGCCAAAAGACCCACAGCTGGGTACATGACGCGCTACTGCATGTTGGCGTCATAAACGCTATAGGTCCACAACTGTAGCCGTCAGATCTTCACGCAGTGTAAGGTACAGTGAATGCCTAAAGGCTCGTTCACACCGCAGGTGGAGTGGCCAAAGCGGAGGTAACATTCTCTCAAGCCGGCGAAAGCGGGCGTGAAACGGGGTCATGTGCCTGGGCGCTCGGCGCAAAAGCTCTGGGACTTGGCCACCGATCTTTAGCGCCCGACAAAGACCTCTGCTTTGCCGCAGTCAATAAGAGAACTCCATGCGACGGTGGCGCTGATGTAAACATATGCCGGATATGATGTAAAATTGCGCAGGCGGTTCGCGTGACGAGGATGTACAAGCAGTTCCACGCGGCGGTGAGGTGTAGCGCCCGCCAATGCTCGAGAGGCCCCGCCTCCCCGTCCGCGCCGGACAGGTAAGGCTCGTTCACACCGAAGGCAAAGCAGGCAAGCGGGCTTTTCGAGGCAGTGAGTGCGCGCACATGTTCTGACCGCACGCCTCATTTGGCTGCCCGCGCAGCTGTGGAGGCGGGGCATCTTGTACTTTCGCGTATGCGTCGCTATTACGTGGCGCCGCTTCTCCCAAATTTACTCCCAAAAATACGCAAGTGCCACGCATGGTGTTCTGATTAGCTGCGGCAAAGCGGATAGCTTTGAAGGCGGACATCCGCCTCGTTCTTCGTTTTTCGCCCACTTTCGCCGATTGGAAAGCAAGTTTCCCCGCTTCAACCGCTTCGCCTTCTGTGTGGACGAGACTTAAATAGTCTAGCAGGTTCAATACCTTGTTCGCAATCGATGGGACTCAACACACTTGAAATGCGTTAAAAGATGACCACAATTTGTGGCTGACTGCCATAAACTCATGAGCCACTCCGCTTCGTGCAGCCTCGAATCTGCTCAGATATAAATTCCATTTCACCGGCCATGTTGTATTAAGTCACATAAAAGCCCGATAGCACTTTGCCTTTGACGACAGTGATCGGATGATTACTGTAGAACTACAGTCTTTCGTGCAGTGTGTCATTACTGTGGTTGTTAATGGTTGTTAGGGAATCTTCACGGGCTAGCCGCCACGCCCGTGGTGGAACACCTGCTGCACCCAAGCGGAGGGGGGAAGAGCATCGGCGATTCGCTCATTCCCCCCCCCCCCCCCACTTGGTTGCGGTAGGGGTCCCGCCACGGGCGGGGTGGTTGGGCGGCTAGCGCATGAAGAGGCCCTTAAAGTCTCGCGTGAGTTTTCGTCGCTATTAGCAGCCTTCATCAAACGCCATCACAAAACGTTGAGGCCGTGACAGCGAGTGTTGGCGGTCATTGAATGAGATCATCGCTTCTGCTGTTTCAATTAAGCAAAATGTTTTCTCCAACATTCCCGATAAACGTTACTTTCCGCAGCTCTTTGATATAGTGCTGCTACAACAATTCGTATTTTGGGCTAGACAGAACCTTGTTGTTTTTTTCGTTAAAAGTTCTAGATTGTTGATAGTAAGCAAAAAGTTCCTTTGTGTAGGTAGAAAGAAACGAAGGAAGCGTGCTTCTTCACATGAAGATGATTACTGCGGAGAAGCCAGTTTCGTCTAAGCACGTTAGGTGGTACAGATATTGCTTTATTGATCGCAGGTAACTTTCGCGCATGTAAACGCCCATGCTGAGTTATAGACGCTAATTGATTTTGTAAGTTTATTCATTAGGAATCAAATCGCACAGTGAACCATTGCAACGGAACCCATACACCAGTAAACTGTAGTTATCCACATAAATGTTTCTATCGCAAAGAGGCCAGCTTTTTGGTTAAGCATGGAGGTAGAGATTTTCATAACCTAGATTGTAATAGCTATTCGTCAATGTATTGTCAAGAAGAAACAGGTAAAGCGTGCTTTACCCTATGAAGGTGTTCACTGCGAAATTAATGCATATATAATAATATTTCTACGTGCCAGTACATGGAGTTGAAGAAGACAAAGCAGATAGACTGGCGTCAGCTAATCTGTGTGGCTGGCGCTGCTCGCCTAACCGGCTGTAAATACATCGCTGACTACCCACCTGAGTCGGTCTCCTTCCCGTAACATATTTGGTGGAGTTGTGCGATCCCCGTCCTCGCCACGGAACTCCGAAGCGGACGCTCCCTCGCGGCTTACAACAAGACCACTCAAGACTCGACTACATCCTCTCCGGTCGCCCGCCCTTCTGCCCGACCTGTCAACCCAGCGCCCGCAACAACTTTCGTGACGCTTCCCTTGCTCAGGAGACCCCGGCGTGTTCTCGGGCAGCGAGGGTTCCGACGTCGACCAGTGGCTATGCCTCTACGAACGCGTCAGCGCCACTTACAGGTGGGATCCCACTCTTATGCTCGCAAACGTCATCTTTTATCTCGACGGAACCCCTCGTGTTTGGTTTGACAACCACGAGCATGACATAACAAGCTGGGACAGCTTCAATTAAGGAAAAGATCCGTGAGCTTTTTGGCAACATCTCTGGTCGTCGTGAAACTGCGAAAAATGAGTTGTCGACTCGCGCATATTCCACGGAGCCCTACATCGGTTACATTCAGGCTGTCCTCTCACTATGCCGCCAAGCTGACGAAAACATGTCCGAACCTGAAAAAGGTGCGCATATCCTAAAGGGTATCGCCGATGATGCGTTCAACTTGTTGGTATTCAACAAAGCGTCATCTGTTGATGCGATCATTTAAGAATGCCACCAGTTCCAACAAGCTAAAAGCAGACGCATCTCCCATCAGTTCCAGCGCCTCCTGAACACCACTGCGACGTCCTCGTGTCTCGACACATATCATCCACCAGACACCTGTGACAAATTGACGCGAATCGTCAGGCGAGAACTTGAAGCGGCTGCTCCAGCTAAGGTGGGACCAACGTCCCCTGACCCCTCTCCGCCAATTACGTTGCTTATAATTCAAGCAGTCGTCCGGCAGGAAATCGCCAGCTTGGGAATTCACTCTATCTCACCGCCTCCCCGCACCGACTACCAGCCCCAATACACGCCTGCACGTCCCTTCCCGACCGGCTCTCCCTCAACGTTCCGTAATCCATCCACATGGCGAACACACGATGACAAGCCGATCTGCTTCTCGTGTCACAGAATCGGGCACATTTCTCGCCATTGTAGAAGTCGCTGAGGTCCTCCTGCACAACCGTCCTCTCGTCCCTTTTATGCACGTCCTGCCTATCGCCATGAGACCAGCCGCGACCATTTTGCCCAGGAACCTTCTTCTGAACACCACTACTCCCGCTCTCCATCCCCCCAACGTCGCCAGTCTCGTTCTCCACAGCCCCGCCGACCATCTTCCCCTGCCTTCCCACGAGGTTCCCCGACGGAAAACTAAGTGTTGCAGCCCCCGGAGGTGGCGCTGCATCGCTCGGACTGACCGAAAATCCTCTTTTGACGATACCGACAAAACGGAACCTCATAGACGTACAAGTAGACGGCGTACATGTCATTGCTCTTGTCGACACCGGCGCTCAACTTTCCGTGATGACGAGTGATTTTCGCCGCAAGCTCAAGAAAGTTCTCACACCTGCAACCACTCAGTTTGTCCGTGTTGCGGATGGTGGAATAGCATCTATCG